ATAAAAAGAAAATCTGAATTCAATACTAAAGAGTCCGGTTGAAAGGTTGCCATAATTACATATAAGTAAAAACAAGCCACATTACACATTTTATCACCATTGGGGGAGTTTTTAATTAAAAAAGCACTATATCTGGCAAAAATGTTAAATTCTTTTTAAGTAATGTCTCAAGTGTAGAATTGTGTGCCCCTTCAATTAATGAAATTTTTTTTTATTATTATTTTGCCGATGAAACCTCATTTCTGGTTACCATGACAGTTTTAACTTTGTTTTAGCTTCCTGATTTTTTTTTAAATGAAAATAGATTGATGTGTACATGGAGAAATTTAAGGCAGTGCGCAATGCCTAGTTTGTGCAATTCTGGGATTTTTTTCAAGTGAAAACAGATTGATGTGCGCATGGACACTAAGTTTGTGCAATTCTTTGACTTGTTATTTTGGTTTTGTGTAGCAGCCATCTTGAAATCGTGCATCTTCCTGGCACCAATCTTGGCGTCAAAAAAGAATCACCAAAAAACAAGGGGCGACCAATTGTAAACTTTTACCTCCAAATCAACTAAATTTGCAATATAATTTGTGATCTTTCCCCCCTGAATTATAAGAGGTAAGCAATCTTTAAGTTTAATTATTTTAATACTTTGTCATAATAAATAACCAATATTTACTTTATTCATATCAAAAAATAAAACTGATTCGTAATTATCCTGAAAATGATCACAGTTATTCCTAATCACTGAAAACTTGTAACTATTTAAATTATTACTGCACTAGGTTTAATCCCAGTATACGGTATACACAGGATTTGGCGACATTATTATAAGCAGTAAACGGGTCATTTTGAAGTTGGTGACAACTTTCAAAATCCCACAAAGACCGTACCGTATACTAGTATTTTACACTGCACCTACATTGAAGTAAATCTTTTTATTATATAGATGTCAAAAGATCCTTACTCCAATTCAAAATTGGAAATGTTACCTTTTGTAGTCATTATAATAATTACACACTGATGTTTCATCATGAATACCCCATCTGATACTCAAAATACAGCTGACAGTTTGTGTTACTAAAAACTGATCTAAGCCAAACCTAATCTTCATACATTCTTGTTAAAGTGAACACTGTTTTTAATTGCCAAAATCAGCAGCCTTAATGACTTCATCTTCATCTTTCAAATGTCATCAAAATGTTATGCAATGGCTGTTTTAATTTTGAAGTAGCTTAAACTTATGTAAAATTGTGAACATGCTTAATGCCAAAAAGTGGAACAAGTGAAAAGAACATGATTAATGCCTTCTCATGCTAAATAATAAATTAAAATACTTGTTTTTAATATAATGTAAAGATAAATAATAAATTCAAATGTCTTTTATAACTGCAATTATCCTATGTGCGAAACAAAAGTCCAGAATACAATAAAAACACGACTTCAGCCAAGAAAGCAATGTTTTTCTAAATGCAATTTTTAACAGGTTATGGGCACAACTTAATACTTAAAAACTATATTATTTACCTTCTTTCAGAATACTCCAACATTATTGACTCACACATGTAAAAGCGTCTTATATTTCCTCCATGGAACGGTGTTTGCTACACCTGGGCGCCTGAGCACTAGGCTCTTTTTTTTTTTTTGTATTAATTTTCTGGATATTAGTAGTTAGTTCTAGACTTTGATAATCAATTACTGGCATGAACAAACTGAGCATTTAGCAAGCTGTTACAGGTGCCAGAAGCCGTCGAGCTGGTGTAATGAATGACATATGACAAGGTAAACACAAATATTGGAAGTCTAAATCCATGAAAGAATATTATGGTAAAAGTATAGTTTAGGGTACCCCTTGGCGAAACTTGGCGATTTTTGGCGGTACACAGATACCGATTTTGTGCAATTCTTTGACTCGTTATTTTGGCTTGCAAAGCGGCGATTTTTGAAATCCACACAAGCCAAATACAGACAAAATTGCACAAATCGTATCCATGTACACTTCACCTTATTTCATGTACACATTGACTTTTAAAAAAAAATCCCCGAATTGCACAAAAATGGCATTGCGCACTCCTCTGACTTTATCCATTGCTTTACGAACTCGAAACTTCTGATAAGATGGATGTTGGGAATCGTGAGATTTATTGAGGATCACCCCAAGATAAAGGACTTGCTTGGCCCATGGAATTGAAGTGCCATAGAACTGTAGGTTTTTGTTGTGTCTTCCTGGTGAATAGAACAGCTTAGATGCAAGCCATATAATATCTTATATGAAATTTATCATATATCAACCAATCCTTGAATACTTTTAGATTCATCTTACATTACAAGTAATATCAACCAATCCTTGAACAATTTTAGGTTCATCTTACATTACAGGATGTTTTACTCCAGGCCAATACAATGTCATTAAGGTAAAGCATTTTACAACTGTTTATCTCAGAAAATTATCTTTTACAAACACTGCATGTAGTGCATCCACAATACCTGTACAGTCAAAATTGAAATTCTGGAAGCAACGAGCAATTTAATTGAAAAATGAAGGTTCAATGCATTGAACCACGGCTAAAAGAGAGTTAATTTAAATTAATTTTTCTTCTTTCTCCAACGTTTTTTACATTCGATGTCAATTCGCAATTCAGTGAATTCTGGTTTTAAGATTTAAGAAATAGAATTGGTATACTTTTAATACTAATTCTATTTCTTACGAAACGAATTTGAGAAAATACAGAAAGTGAAAAATCTATGCAGTTAAGATATGTTAGATAAATTTTTGGGCTGTATAGCATGCAATAACAGAAAAAGAGATATGAAAAAATATACCAATATGATTACGTATGATAAAATACAGTTTTCATGAAAAAATGGCAGTGTTATATCTCACTCGCTTCGTTATTCCATGTATTCAAATTTCCTTCTAATCAAATATACGGCACATTAAGAATAAAAATTAATTTTTTGAAATCTCTCACCTTCATCACTCTGCTGAACATCCTTTGCTGCAGAACAAAGTGCAGCACAAAATATGAAAAAAATCCATCCCATGGCTTTTCCAGATCACGTTATAATAACACACTTTATCTAGAAGATACCACACATCTTCGAAATCTGCATTTCCAAGTTTTAATTCTCAAATGTAAACACCACCAATCATCAAATCTCTAAATGTAGCAATCGTAAATAAAACACAAACTAACCGTCTTATTTCAAACATCCACTGAGGCGCTACGACAGCGCTACAACAATTTTTACTCCCTTTGAATGCAAAGCGCACACTATTATAGTAATGTAAAAAAAAAAAATGCTTTAAAAGCTCTGTAATTTTCATTAGAGGTTCAAAATGTATAAACTAAATTATTACGATCCACTGTCCGCCAGGGGGGGGAAAAAAACTTGCTGCTAAATATGAAGGAAAACTTTCAATGTAGCTCTGTTCTTCATCAGAAATAAAAGGATGGCTTTAGTTTCTGTTACTACTTTTATTTCAAAGTACTTTTCTTTCGTATACAACAAAATTTTCTCTGCACTCTGAAACTACGGAAAATACGAAAGTCCATGTTGCCAATGGCACCTGATGTTCAGGCAGAAAGGTTGATATTCAAGTGCAGCGTTTGTTTATATAACTTTGAACTTTTATACCAATCAACTTTAAGAAAAATGAGCCAGATCTACATCCAAGAGCCACCGACAAATGGAAAGGTTAGCCCTTAATCTATGTTTTCAAAGTGCATAATGAATTTTTATGCCTTTTAATGTAATGTATAATGAATGTAAAGTATAATGAATTACTTTAAGATTATCATAGTTTTAAGATATCAAGCTTCCTCGCACGCCATTTAATATATGATAAAGTTTTAAATGCAAGGAATCCCATATTTTCATTTAATTGCAAGGGTTTTCATCCGCAAATAACCCGTTGGCGCCGTTGCAGTTTTACTCGCCAAGTCCACCAATGGTTGATCGACGCCGAGGATGGTCCGCGTACGGTTATCAGATATTAAAACACATGAAAGTTTGCCGCTTAAATCTGGTATTTAGTGCATATAATCAAAATGATTAAAGAATAAGTAATATAAATTCAAGTTAGCCGAGAAAACAGTATATTAACCCGTAACAGGGGAGATCAAATATTGGGACATAACCGGGGACGTGCAGTCACAGAGACCGCGTCTCGTTATGGTTTAAATAAAATGTTCTAATCAAAATATTAAAATTTTATTGTACCTTTACATTCTAAAAACACTTATCTTCGAAACAGAAAAAAGAAAAAATATTTTACAAAGAAATCAATCAACACTAGGAACATCTTTTCTGCAACTTGAACTTTTTTTATGAAAAACCACTTTCAAATGTAAATTATGCAAAACAAACCAGAATAACTATTATTTTGTATGAATTATAATTATTTTCCATTAATTTAACATATGATAGATACATTCAGATGAAAAATACAAATATTGTACGACACATAAAAAACATGACAGTACCTTATTATCAGTAATACCATTGTGTTCTTGCAAAAGATATCAACTTACTCAGTATATTCTTGTGCACATTCATGACATAATTTTTGTGTACATACCAAACAAACTGGCGTTTTACAACTTATGCATAAAAACGAAGTTTTCATTTCTTTCTTTTTCTCTAACATTTTCGTTTGTGAAAAGGACCTTCCCAACCCGATCCTTTTTTCAATTTTTCTATACTATTATCCTGGAAGATGAACTATATCATGCACGGGAGTTCTCACTTGTTGAGGTTCAATAGATGACCACTTGAGTTCCTTCCTCCCATAATATATTTATAGATGAAATGGATTCAGTCTCTGGTTCAGTGCATTCATTGTCAGATTCAGAAAATTCTGTTGTCGTGGAATGTGAACTTTCATTTGCAAAATCTTGGCATTCATCTTCATCGCTAAATTCACTTTCCGCTTCATCAAGAATTCTTTACAGCACTTCTGCATAACACGAATTAGAAAAATTTATGATATTTTTCGGACTGAGTCTCAGAGCCATGTTTCCAGACAATGGAGTAGAATTTCACAATGAAGCAGGTGCAGAAAATGTTAGCCAATATGTGAGAATTATCAAGGTCACAAAAGGAGGAGCTAGCAGGAGAATCCACTCGGACGGTGATAGGAACAACAACACCGTAGCGGTCTCTGAGACCGCACCTTCCCAGTTACGGGTTAACCATATTAATTTGTAGGAGTTCCATCGTGAGGCAAGACACAAGTATAAAATATATAATCTTTATTTTACACATCAATAATAACATTCTGATGAAAAGGGAAATTCCTGCTCCATACACACTGCTCTCTCCTTACCATCTGCCGCTCATCCATTGAAGAATAAGTAACATTAATCCAAGTTAACAGAGAAAGCAATATATTAAGCATATGTAAGTGAAAATTCAAAATTAACCAGTTAAACATGATATATGAAAGAAAATTTGTACTGAATTCAAGGCCTTTGAGAATGAGCTTTCCTGCTCCGAATATGTCATAATTTTGACATAAATACTTTTTCTGTAAAATATTTTCAATTTTCTGAAATCAACTCAAAAAGTATAAATTAATTTATCCCGAAATAATGTTCTCATCCATTTTCTGCCCAAGTCATCTAACTCTCTGGTTCAAAGAGTATACATTTTCATGAAATTTAGCTAATTCCCAACTGAAAATTAACTGAAATTTTATCAAAAATCTTTAAAATATCTTGATGGAAAAAATTTTATTTTCTTTTGAGTTGAAAAGTCTTAAATTTCCGTCGATTTACCAATTCTTGTTAAATGATTATGGAATTGTTAACATGTGAAGATCGCTTGACTAGAAGATTAAGAGTTTGGAAAATTTTATGTGATTTTCATTTTCTGTATCCAGCCAGACTAGTAAACTGGTGATTTCATTATCTGATGAACTGATGAAGTCACTCGGTGCATTTACTTTACAATCTGCATGTAACTAATAAGTTCTGAATTCTGTAATTGCTAGAATAGTGAATCATAAGTGTAGTAGAACTCAGATAATCTGTAAATGTCTGTTATCAATGCATATTTAAACAAAATTTCAGCTTATGAAAGGTTCAACATGGGGCAGAATTATCTGCTAAAGTACATAATCGCACACTTATTTTATTTGCGTTTGTTTGGCGCTTTTTACAAGAATAAGAAGAATTGGATTTTTGTCCATTTTCTTTGACCTTTTTAAGTGAAAATAGGTCAATGTGTACATGGATAAAGTCAAGGGAGTGCACAATGCCATTTTTGTGAAATTCTGGGAATTTTTTTTAAGGGAAAATAGGTTGATGCGTACATAGATACCGAATATGTGCTATTCTTAAAAATGCGCCAAGCAGTGGCCGATTCTGCACTTTCGTCAAATTATCTATAATTTTTTTATACGTATGTGAAAATGAATTTTTAAAAAAGTACATTCATAATATATATTGATCTAAAAAGGAATTTTGTTTCATTAATGAAAATATTTAACTCAGTAGTACTTTGTGTTGTTATTATTTTTATTACACATGGATCATGAATTTCTGTAAATTGCTCGATTTTTCATTTCATTTTATTCATTCACCAGCAATAAATCTCTAGTTTTATGTGTATATTCTACTGAATTTAAAAATTAATTTTTTAATGCTTGTGTAAATATATTGGTACATTCTGTCTGTTAAGGGTATATGCATCTATCCGTGTATATGTGTATATGTATACACACACATACATTTGTATGTGCATCAGGGCTTAAGTTCCAAAATTAGAAGTGCCGGAGCCGTATGGAAGACCCTCAGCAAAGAGGAACATGAGTAAATAAATTAAATGGTTATTATTATTTAATTAATGTTTATAAATTGTTATCTAATTAATAATTATTGTATAATAATTAATTACAATTTAATTGATAATCCGCCTTGATTGCTTTTCTTGCCCCTTACCGCTTGTGAGCAACTCCCCTCCTCCCTTCCTCCCTGTCCCGCCTCCTGCCCTTTCCTCGCCCTTTTTCCTCTACTTTTCTATGATAAACTTTCTCGCTAACTTTCGCTGCGTTTCCATTCCAAGAAACGTTCGCCCTTCTCGGGGTGTGGTCGTTCGTTTAAATGCGCTCCGGGCAGCATTAGGGCTGCAGTGCATTCCGACTAATTATGATTTATTACAAAACTAAGAAGCACCGGAGGCGAGATCGGTGGGCTCCGCCCAATTAAGCTCTGATCGTAGGAGAAAGTTTGTTTCATCACCAAATAAATATCTTAAGTATCGCTGATGGAAAATTCCGGGCAAACAGAGTGAGGGTAAGTGGGGACAAAAATGAGGGTAATCTTGATGAGGAGAACGTTCTTCTCTTAATTGCGGCTCTTTGCTGATATTATATCTTAGTGGATACTGGGAAGATGATGTTAGGACTCTTGAGTAGTTTATCTCAGTATTTCACTCTTTTGTACTCTGTCACTTACCGCACATTAAGAACCAAATTCCTTCTGCAGGATAACTAACTGTAAGCATCGAACATACACTGATAGTGGCTGGCGAAATTTACACGTTCCTAAACAAACTCCCCCAAATTTATTGCCTTTTTTAAAGGGAAAGGTTTTTGCATGAAGGGAATTTACTTGAACGTCTCATGTTTTCATGAGTTCGTATGTCTAGGGAAATAGTGTATTGCAAAGTCTGCTTATTGTTAAACTAAAATGTTATGAATTCTAAATATTTTCCCTTTAAATTGTGGTTCAGTTTTATAAAAAGAAGTACCGAAGCTCAACTTATTTAGGGCTCCGGTGCGCTCCGGCTAAAATCGTAATTTATCTTAAAAACTGAGAAGTACTGGTGCCGAGCTCTGGTGGGCTCCGGCGCAGTTTAAGCTCTGATGTGCATATATACATGCATACATGAACACGTATTACATGCATATGTTTCTGAATCCGGTCCATATATTGTTACACATTTTATATATTGTAACATGAAATGCCCCAAGAAGTGAAGCTTCATACAAAACATAAGATTACAGAGGCAGGTCTATTTAAACATTAAGATAAATGACTATCTCACTATATTGGCAAGATAATGCCAAGCTGGCAATGGTTTCTGCAGCTAATTTATGCCGCCAAATTTGGTGAGAAGTTGCCAAATGGTAATGTTTTAATCTAGTCCTTGTATCACTGTGATTGGCTTGAATGCCAATGTAACTGTATCTGATGGTACTATTTGATTTTCTACTTTGCACCTAAGCTTGATTTTTGACCCATCGATGCAGTAAGACTTGGTGGGTGCAAAACGTGACATCTGTCTACTTTGTCTGTCTGTCAGAACAGCCGCCAAGATTATCAACAACTTTAAACTACCCGCACTTAGTTTCTGGCTGCATTATCTACGCGATTGCTTTTAATATGGCATCAAAAGGCTTATCTTCTGCCACATGAATTCGAAAGATACGACTCTAGATCAGCAGTCAATATTGATAACAGCAGCATCTCCATGGATACCCTTAGAACTTCACAAACTACATATATAATTTTATATTTGGTGGACCACTAATACGAATTAAGGAAAAAGGTAAATACATTTATACAGTAATAATCAGCGAATTACACATATTTCATTCAAGTTGAAAAATTACATGAAAAGTACAAAAATCTTACCTTCTTCTTAAGCTTCACGTTTCCATATCACTGATAAGGAACTTCACGAAAAGCAAGAACAAATCAGCAAACGCAAAGCAATATCAGTAAACTGATAGTGTTATGCTGCCAGTTTTTAATTATTCTAAAGATAATAATCATTGCTTACTCAGCAATGTCGCTATCGATCAACAATTAGACAAAACAAAAACGGAAACTTCTAGTGGTGGAATTATAAAGAGCAACGCAGATGGTTCTCATAATAATCCATCAAGCTGCCCATTGACACAGAGAAAAACTGTATTATTAACGACTACAATTGCATATGTTTGTAATTCAAAAGGAAAGAGAATTCCAGTTCATCCTAATATTGATAACAGCAGCATCTCCATGGATGCTAACTCTCACTTTCAAATGTTGCTAGATACACCTGCAAAAGTAGCTAAAAAGTTGCTAAATTCAGAAGGAATATTGCTAAAACTAGTAGCTAATTTTTTTTTTTTTTTAAGTATAATCCATTTTCCTTAATATGTGTTGTTAGTCATCATTTTTTAAACTGGATCTTCATAAAAATATAAATAATGTCGTAATTTTTCTGCGGACCAGCAAAAAGTTATCATGGACCACCGCTGCTTTAGATAATGTCAAGCCATATCCCTTTCTTTTTGTTCATCATTTAACAGAACCTCACAATCTTTCCATATTTTGGGTGTGAGCACCTATTGTTGGACCAACAAAATTAAATGTGTGATTCACAGTTAAATGGTGAAAAACAGTCTCTGGAGTACTGGTGTTAGACACCAGGATATCTGGATGTGAGACCCTACCTCTAATTAAATGCAGTTAAAAATTGTGAATAAATTCCGATATTAACTTAGATCAAAGATCTTAAGGTTGGTTTTTTTTTTTTTTAATACTAATATTTTAGGTAACTTTGATAGTGTAATTAAATATATAAAATTTCTAGAGAACAGCATCTAACGTATGGAAAGTTGCTAAGCTGGTGCATAAGACATAAAGTACCAATCACTCAGTGCCAATAAAAGAGTTTATTGCATACAAAATAATGTACTGCAATACAGTGTAATAAAAAAATAGATATAATACAGGTGCAATAAATATATTTAAATTTCAGCCACAATACTGAGATTTAAAATTTGCCATTGGCCTCTTATTGTTTTCAGTGCTGCAATAATTATAAATTCTTATTTCTAAATTAGGAATGGGTCTCATTTTAATAGGAAAATTTTTGCCCAGATAATAGTAGAAGGTGTAAAGCTGTTCAGTTTTTAACTCTGCATGAATTGCAGTATTGTGCATATACCATGGTGCATTAGTAATTTGTCAGAGAACAGAGTTCAGTGCTGCGTGTAATTTTTTCCTATAGAGAAGAGAGTAGGCCGAGCCTGGACAGACATGAAAAAGCATGGGACGCAAAATGGATTTATGAATGAGTAACTTGTTTTCAATTAATAGAATTCTGTTTCAAGTATTTAGAGGGTAAAGTTTAGCTTTATGCACTCAAAACTTCTGGATAATACCTTGTATGTGTAGGTACCATGTAAGAGATCGGCTGCATTTTGCTTTGTGCTGGTTCTGTGTTCGACACAATTTCTATTTCATTAAAAATGAGAAAACTTTCACATAGAATTTTATTGAAAATCCTTCAATTCTTCATAGATTCCGAATGAACAGGATAGGAGTTTCTGCAGATAAACGAAAAGCATTCTTACAAATAAGTCTCAACCCGAAGGATAAAGACTATCTAAGATTCGTATGGTATAGAGCTGATGGGAAACTGAAGTATTACAGGCACTTTAGGGTAGTATTTGGAGTTGTTGCGTTTTTCTTTTCTGACACCAGTAGTTATGTTATTTTCTTCCTTCACATTCGTACGGGGTTCGTGTGGATTTGGAGTGAATAACAACGACACTTGATGAAGTATCAAAACACACTTTATTGGCTGGTATTAATCAGGACAGCTACAAAGTCACATTTTATAGTCGTCGAAGATCTACAATAAAACGCTGAAACAATCAGCGACACAGCCTCCAGGTTATCAGGCTATCACGTTGGAGGCAGCTTCACCGCAAAGCACCCAAGTACAGCTCCCAACTCTGCTTGGTCGTTCTTGGAACTCCACATACTCTCAAGACTCTCCACGAGATGCACCCGAAGATACACGAGAGTATAGCTCTCGACTCAGCATAGTTTAAGACAAAACTCAGTGATGCACTAAAAGACTCTCTCAATGCACTCGATGACCAACTCAGTGCTAGACTTCGAGATACTCGCTCAATGACTGACTATCAGCTAGCTAGATGAGGCACACACACACACTAACTGACTGTGGACCAGCAGGGTTTATATAGCTTTCAGCTTGTGTTCAAGAACATTCTGGGCTAAACCAGTAAGAATTAGTTCTAGAAGGTTCTCCATCCGTTCATGGTATATTGCGAATTTTCTCGCCAAATGTGGCAACCGTGCCTTCCTTTGCTATTTTATAGCAATCCTAAAACTGCTTTGCGGGGAAGCTATCTTACCACGCCTGTACATTTCGTAACTATATATACACATAAAAAAAGAGAGAGAGAGAGATCAGTTGCATTTCGCTTTGTGCTGGTTCTGTGTTCAACACAATTTCTATTTCATTAAAAATGAGAAAACTTTCACATAGAATTTTATTGAAAACCAAAACATTTTTCTTGTGATCGCACAGCAGTGGGGACACGTTAAACGATCGGTGGGCGCTATGGTGCCCGTGGACATAGTGTTGGAACCCCTGCCCTAGAAGAAGAAGGGTAATTTTACCATCGGTTGGTGCTGGTAGTTCGTACGAACCTTTAAGGTCTTGGTGCCACTGTGCCATGGCCTTGGTGCCATTGTGCCACGACCTTGCCCATATGGGCGGTGCGTCCCTAACTTTGAATTTAAATCCCTTCTAATTATCCTTTCAAAAAGCTGTGTTATTACTTCATATGTCATTCTACATACTATTAAAAATATTATTCATGACTGTCCATTTTATTAATTAGTCTGTTGAAAATGTGTCTAAGAGTAAAAGTGTGGAAAAATTTTTGGCCTTCTGGTGAATGAAATTAATGGTTTCGATGTGCCTGGTTTAAAAATCTTAGGTTCAGGCATTTTAAAAATAATTCTGCTTTTTGAAAGGAGGAGGGTATACTGAAATATAAATAGAACTACAGTTGTTCATACTTAAGAAGGAATTACTGCTACTGGAGCTGATAGAATTCTTTCATTTGCAGTTAGAAATAAATCACTGCTTACAGTTAAAAATAAGTTACTGTTAACTGAGGAAATTATATGTATTCTTAATTATGAATTTATATATTTGTCTTTGTTCCCCTTTCCCTGTTTTGGGTAAAATTGTCATTCTTTAATGAAGCTGTACCTATTGTTAGAGCTTCTATTCCTGTCTCTAGTTAAATTTCACACTAAGATTAGGAACTGCAGTGATGCTGTTTAACAGTTAGTCATGACCCTTACCCGAAAAATACAAATTATTTTTACACTTTTGATGATAATTTGCAATTTACTCTTTATTCATAGTGTTTTATATGATTACAGAAAATAAAAGTTCATTTCTATCCTGTGCATATGTCCTGAAGGGCATATGAAGTTTAAAAATATTCAAATTCTGATAATACATGATTTACCAATCCCCTAAATTCTGCCAGCTTCAAAATTAGACAAAATTAAAAACCTTAGATTTGCAATAATGTTATATTGAATGTGAATGGATTTTAGGATTTTGTTTATGAAAGTGTAAAATTATTCTCTACCATTTTGCAAGCTATTATTGTAAGAATAAAAATAAATAATGCCATGCATTTACAAATATGGGTTATTCAAACATCTCCAGTATTTAAAATTTATCTGACTATGTACAAAACTAATTTTTATTATATTAATAAACTAATATTTTTATTTCCATTTATTTTCTTGATTTTGGTGAAACTCTTACTTTGTTTGATCCATCAAATGCTAAACATATGCCAATTTACAAAGAAGATACTTGATTTATTTTTAACTTTTTTTTAGTCATCACAGATACATTGTGCTGGTAACTCAGTAAGGTTTAGGTTATCATTCACATTTTTTTCTTTCAAATACATCAAAGAATGTAGTGCATAGTGTTCAAATAATATGCATTTGAAATAAGTAAGGATGATTTGAAAAAATGATTAGAAAATGAGGAAAGAAAAAGCTTTATTTAATTTGTTTCTTCTGCATGCCCCAAACCTTCCCCCCAATATATATATATATATATATAAATTTGTTCTCTGCATCCCCAAACCCTACCCCCCAAAAAATACATATATATATTCAAGAGAAAAAACATAATTGTTTTCTGATATGCATTGAAAAATACAGTACAAAATACTGTGGCATTTGAAGCAAACAAATATGAACTAAACAATTATAGAAAGTTAAAATACATGTTTTCTTCAATTTCTGCATCCAAGAAACTGGATGCTGTGTGTCAACAGAATAAATTCCTACTTCATGAATCCAATTTGTTGATATCTAAGAAAAGCGCTTAGTAGAAAAGCTTATCTAAGAAAAGTTCATTAACTCTAAATTAGTTTAATTCATTTGTTGGTTGAAAAAAAAAATTGATTCTAAGTTTGAATGACATCAACAGTTATATCCTTTAATAAATTTAATGAAGGTGAGGCAAATTCCAAAGGTTTAATATTCCATAACTAGTTTTTGACGTTTGGTTTGAGCTAAATCAAAGCTTACTTTCCGTTGCGAGTATGAACAGGAGTGAAATGTTTAAAAAAGGTCAGCTGTTTTTTATTTATGTGATTATGTTTCATGTTTCAGATTCTCCTGCATACTACTGTTGGAGATATAGATATTGAATTGTGGTCAAAAGAAACCCCTAAAGCTTGCCGTAATTTTGTTCAGTTATGCCTGGAAGGATATTACAATGGAACAACTTTTCATCGAGTTGTAAAAGAATTTATAGTTCAAGGTGGTGATCCGAATGGAGATGGTACGGGTGGAGAATCTATATATGGTCATCCTTTTAAGGTAAATAAAATTCATTTAATTTTTGTAACACAGTGTACATTACAAATCTATTTTAACAAGTAGCAATGGTAAATCACCAATAGGATTAAAAATTTTTCTGGATAATTGAATATCTGTTTCTAGAAATTACTTGCTGATGTTTTTGTGATGCCATCTGTAGAAATTGTAGCATGCTGTATCCATGATTAGTGTTTTTGAAGTATCGGCCTCAACTAAATAACATTGAAAGAAGTTGAGATGATTAAAAATTAAAACACTTACACATTATTTTATATTTCAGAACAAAAAAATGAAACAACATTTTTAATTTCACATTAAAGTTACAAATTTCGTAGTGTAATGACATTTAACTTCAAATGATGTGCTGTTCAAGAGATTGTCACTATAGTTTTAAAAATTTGGTGTGTATACAATGAAGCATCCTAGCTAGTGCTGACATAGATAAACATATGCTCGGCAAAATGGAAGTCTGCAATCTGGAGTCAGCTTCTTTCCATGTAATTTCCTTGTTCTGCATGCTGTCTTCACCCTCCTTTTCATCTTTCTCCTTTCCCTGTATATGTCCAATAAATTCACCATCATGAGAGAGTGTATTATGAACAGAATTGTCTGCATCCATGAAAGCTTGCTCCACCTCTTCACTAATACAGTCAAAAGTCATTAATTCGGACACCCATATCCGGAATGATCTATAATCGGACCTCAAATCTACAAACTTGACGCATGCGCGTAAGACCTTTACGGCTGCGAATATGCGTGTGCGCATGCACATAATACGTTTACGCATGCGCGTTTAATGTATAACGGACGGTATAAGCTAAGCTAAAATTATCTAATTCAGTTAATGTTGCAGATTGTGTTGTTCCTTAATCTTCGAATTGGATCTGGTTTATTATTTTTTGCAGACTGTTTACAGCAGTTTTTTATTAAAAGTAAGCTTGAACTTTCGATTATGTCAAGTAGAATTTCCGATATATATTTACTAATATGTAAAGGATCTACAAAGCGAAAGTATGTTTCGAAGTCCATTAAACAAAAAGTGGAATTGCTGCAAAAAATGGATAAAAGCATATCCTTCGTTTCTCTAACCATTCCGAAATCTGTTTATCAATTTCATGCTGCTCCGCACCGAGGGGGAGGGGGACTCCGCAGCATGCAATGAATTGGAAGTTGATCTGTCAGCACTATCCTTATCTTCAGGGCAGATGTTTTTATTTTATTTGGCTTATAATTCCTTACTAAATGTAGTATTTCATCTCGATGTACTCCGTCTTTGATATGATTTAAATCAAATTCCTCCTCATTATAATTCGCTTCCGATAGTGAAGAACACAGAGTTTATTGAAAACGAAAAAATTTCGATTGGCAAATTAGTCGTATTCTCGACACAAAGCAATTATAGGACTTGAACAGCGGAACTTTGTAACTGAACAAGAAATTATGTCTGTTTATAGAATTAAAGAGAAAGTATTATCACATAAAATGAAGCAACTTAAACAACTTACATTGAAAGAAATGTTTAATAAAAAAAAAAAGCAAATAAATATTAAGCCTTTTTTTTTTTGTTTTGTTTGTTTTTGTAAATTTTGATACCCTTTAGATCATAATTGTTCTTTATTTCATAAATTACGGTTTCATATTTTTAATTTTATAATTTCTGCATGCCATCTTACCAGATTTAAACTGATGATCTATAATCCGAAAAAATCGATAATCCGGAATCGGCAAAGTCCCAACGAGTCCGGATTAACGACTTTTGACTGTACTAAACTTCTCTGAACATGTAACTGAATCCAGAATGTCAACTTCAGGCACCAGATGCATTTTAAAATTAAGAGAACCTTCATCATTCAACTTGTTATCCACATGCCACAATTTATACTAACAGCGACATAAAGTTATACTCATTACTTTTTCAAAACGAGATGAAATAAATCAGTAGTCTTTCAGTGGGAATTGCTTCTGAAAATTATAGACAATGTCTTCAAAGTTCACATTTTATCCATAAAAAGAAATTGATAATTCATCTTTATATTTGAGATAATTCTTTGATTCATTGGTTGGATAAGGCTTCTAACAATGGGTGATAGAACATAACACAAATGTTTTCCACATTTAAATTTCAGATTGTTAATCCATTCTATATCTTTTTTATCTTATAGACCTAAGTTTCAAATTTAAATTCAGACCTTCAAAAAAGGCCATTATTTTAATATTACCAATGACTCGGGAGCTGGTTATGAGAGATTTTATTATAATTGTTTTTGATAAGTTATTTCTTTTATTTTTTGTGTAATAATCTTATCTGATTATTTGTCTTCTTTTTTTAAAATAAGTTATTATTTTGTATTATTTTAAAATTCATGAATTTTAAATCTCAAAAAAGTTAATTATAAAATTTTTTTTCTTCAGTAACATTAAAAAAACATTTAGAGTATCCATTATTCTTCATTAATGTAATATAAATATAAGTGTAGCAAGTTACAAAGTAAAAATCAGAGAATTAGAAGTTCTTAAGATATATTTCTTATCTGTGATTAAACTTATATTAACTAAACTTGTATTGTAATAATAAATAAGACTTTAAAGTTATATTTTTAATTTTGATCCTCAGTTCAGCAAAGTAAGTATTTTCACAAAATTTGAAATTTGAATAAAGTTTTTTAAGAAATATTTTTAATATAGAGATAAAAAAATGAATGGAATTTGACATTTATTACAAATAATTACCTTATTTACTTATTATATATGTAATATTGCTAAAATAATTTTTTCTTGCATTTAATATTAGGATGAGTTTCACAGTCGCCTGCGATTTGTTCGTCGTGGTTTGGTTGCAATGGCAAATTCCGGTAAAAACGATAATGGAAGTCAATTTTTTTTTACTCTTGGCCCTACACCTGAATTACAGAATAAAAATACTATATTTGGCAAGGTAAAAAGTGTTCTTATATTCATTCTTCATAAGTAGATTTTATATATTTCGTATATCCAAATATAGGTTAAATGTCTGTTTCTCAGGTTACTGGAAATACTTTATATAACATGCTGAAACTGGAAGAAGGTCTAGTTGATGCTGATGACAAGCCTCTATATCCTCACAAAATTATATCATGCAAGGTATGTGAAGTATTGACAATAGTTAAAATTCTACCTGCACTAGAAGGGAAGATTATGGTATTGGACATTTGTTATTAGCTAATTTTTCCAGGAATTTTATAAAATTTTATTGCAGTATCGTATAAATTTTTATATATTTATAAAATTATTATTGCAGTAAATCTTACTCAGCTATCATTATTATAGTACAAAGTCCATAATCCAGGCGTCCATTATCCGGAATGATCTATAATCCGGACCTCAAAGCCACAAACTTTTTATTGTATGCTTTACGCATGCGCATTTAATGTATAACAGACGATTTAAGCTAAGCTAAAATTATCTGTACTGATTCTAACGCATTTCAGTTAATGTTGCAGATTGTGCTGTTCCTTAATCGTTTAATTAAATCCAACTTATTTTTTGCAGACTGTTAGAGCAATTTTATAAAATTTAAGCTTGAACTTTCGATTATGTCAAAAAGAGTTTCCAATTCTGGAGCTGCCAAAGGATCTACAAAGCGAAAGCATGTTTCGATGTCCATCAAACAAAAAAGTGGAATTGCTGCAAAAAATGGATAAAGGCATATCTGTCTCAAAATTATGCAAGGAGTATGACACTGAAAATTCAATTGTATATGACGTAAGCAAAAAGAAAAAGAAACTTTTCGAATTTTTGTGGATTCCGACACCCCACTTGCAATGAATAACAGAAAAACGGTTCGTTATGCTAAAAATGATGATTGAATGGGTCAGACAGCATTGCAGCGAGGACGGGCCATTGACAGGTCTAATGCTAATGGCTTAAGCCAAAATATTTCATGAAGAAATGAACTTAAACACTGAGTGCACATTTTTGACAAGTTGGTTAACCAAATTCAAGACTTTTTGAAATTTTTTAGCATAAAATCTGCTGTGTGGAGCATTACAAGATCATGGAAGGATGTGTCTCCAGATACGTTATAAAATGCTTAACATAATTTATGACTAGCTACCATATTTCATAGTGAGGATGATGAAGATGATAACCACGAATTTGAAGGTTTTCTGACATCGCAAACTAAAGGTGAAATTTTCCAGTTATTGGATTTTGTAAAGAAATGTGGAGAAGCAGTAATAAATGAAGATGATATAACAGAAGTTTTTCTTTGTGATGACAATGCCCTAATCGTCAATCAATTAACAGACAGCGAAATCTGTAGTATTGTTCTAGATCGAGAAAATACCACTTCCGATAGTGAAGAAAGTGACAGAGAGGCTACTGAAAATGAAAAAATTTCGATTGACAAGTTAATCTGTATTCTCGACACAGCAATTACAGGACTTGAACAGTGGAACTTTGTAACTGAACAAGAAATTTTGTCTGTTTATAGAATTAGAGAAAGTATTAGCACAAAAAACGAAGCAACTTAAATAACTTACATTGAAAGAAATGTTTAATAAAGTAAACAAATAAATATTTAGCTTTTTTTTTTTTTTTTTTTTTTTTCTAATTTATGATATCCTTGAGATCATAATTGCTCTTTATTTCATAAATTACAGTTTCATATTTTTAATTGTATAATTTCTGCATGCCAACTTACCAGATTTAAATTGATGATCTGTAATCCGGAAAAACCCCTAATCCGGAATCCCCAAAGTCCCGAAGAGTCCAGATTAAAGAGTTTGTACTGTATCCTAGTATAAAACACACAGTAGAACACATTTAAAGCATACTTACTGCTTTATTTTATTAATATTAAATAAAAGAAATAAAAGATAAATTAAGGTGAAAGAGAATAGTAGAGCTGGTAACCTCACAATTAAAGTCTCAGTCCACTCAGGATTCATGTAATGATGAACATTTCTCACACACTATCAGTTCCTTATAAATATTTACCTAATGCCAAGATACATTCAAAAGCATTTGAATGTACAAATGAGATGTGATGCAATACATGGGATAAATAATTTTTTTAAAAATACCATACAAAATTTATAAAATCAGAAATGGGATATAGGAGGAGTATTACATGACTGTTATATATATGTATATAAATTTTAACAAACATGTAGATACGTAAAAAAAAAAAAAAAAAAAAAAAATGTAAGTTAAAATAATGTGCAAACACATAAAAGAATTAATTTTCAAACTAATTTACAATAGCATTTAAATTCAGATAGCATAAGTAAATTAAGTGCAAAACCAAAACATGAAAATAAATTCACCAATTTAGTGAATTAAAATTAATCTAAAATTTTTTTTAAAAATGCATAAGTGAATGACTGTTGAGCAGGCAGAAGACAGACTTATCAAGGGGAAGTTGCCTCCTAACCTAACTCTTCAATCATTCAATTCATTCTTTTGAAACAATATATATGTATATATATATTTCTCAAAAAGCAAAGTTTTTACTGCCATTGAGAAATTTTCACATATAGCACAATAATACCTCTTTCAATCCTAAACTTTGCAGAGTTTTTGGAGAATATATTCTTGCTCAAGCTATCAGGAGCCAGAAATTTGAGATGGTGATCTTTAGTGAAAGCGCACTCAAATATGCAGTAGTTGGGATTGCTAACCCCACCACATTCTCAGTTGTCTGTCTCACTACACCCAGATTGGCTTAGATAGGACAGAAAAATGCCATGAACTGTTATAAACTGAGTAAGAGTTGATTTTCAGTTTGCAGTTCTGTCTTAACTTTCAGCATCCCCCAATAGATACATCTGCCACAAAAATGTACCTGATAGTGAAGTGGGATGCTCCAAAAGGAAAGCATCATTGGCTCATTCTTCATAACTTTATATGCCTGCTCATTTTCCAGTATGCTAGATGGAGACAGCACCCAGCAAAGAGTTGCCCTCTTATAGACTGGACTCCAAGTACCATTTTACATATTTGAATAACTGAGGGTTATGCCAACTTCACCTTACTGAGATCGTGGCAAGACTGTAGACTCTGTCACTGTATATCACTTTTGTATCCAGTGGATGGTACTGTATATATTCATTTGCTGCTCTTATAGCTGTTAATTCTGCTTTGTATGCTAAATTATTTTGTCCAAGTCAAAAAATGCATGAAAATTAGAATTGTTTGTGTACATACAGAGTAATTTGCTACAGATGCCACAAGCTTGCAGGAGATGTAGGGGACACAAAGACGATTCAAAATCACATAGCCCTACAAGGTCCAAAGTGCTTTCCACCTGAGCTGTGGTTAAAAAAAAAAAAAAAAAAAAGTAAAGAAAAGAAAAGAAAAGAAACAGCAACAGGTTAGTGTAACAGATTTCATTTTATTCAGATTCGTATAGCATTGTAGGGTTCGAAATGTCTTCTATCTAAGCTATAGTTAAAAGAGGTTAAAAAAATAAATAATAAAAAAAAGAGAAACAACAGCACGTTAGTGTAACAGAATTAATTTTATTACAAGTTTTACATTTGCGAAAGGCTATATGCCTTGATATTCAAAATGGTGTGCAGAAGCAGTCACACACGCTTCACGTGGAATTCTTAATGTTCTGAAAAAGTCCTGGTAGAAGTGTCTGTAGAAGTGTGAGCAAGCCTCATTATGCTGTAACCACACTAGCTATGCAATGACTGAGGAACATATGTTTCTTCAATAAGTTTAGGTAGGACTTCACATAGGAAGATCAAGTATACCTTCTGTCCAGATGAGAGGTCAGAAGACATGGTTCAAGGAGGTGGTCTCCAACATTGCTGGCCCACACATTGACCGAGAAATGGCTTTGAGCTACACATGTTCGTGTACCATGGGATTATTCAAAGACCACAAATTGGTGTTATGTTAATTGAAGGCTCCCTCTCTTGTGAAAAATGCTACATTCATGAACAATACATATACAGCAAATACACTATCTGTCACACTGTGTGGAAAATAACAAGTAGCAAAATTCCTCCAGAGTGAACAATCTACAATACTTGGATGCATTGTAGATGGTATGAACGCATTTGGTTTCCTGACAGTATCCTCCATATAATGGATTGGGGCAAACCCAATTAATGGGCTATCGCTCGCGTACTCGTTCTTGGATTGTCTTCTGCCACATTGCATTCTCCCTTGTTGCTCTCGATTCTAGCATCCTTGTTTGCTCTCAATTCATGGTAGGTTTCACGTAACCTTCTGTGCAAACACATGATGATCGTATGATGAGGAGCACACCTGTGCAAGAAATGTTCCTAGTACAAGTACATAATGTCCATTACCGTTCACAGCTGCTGGTGCCACCATACACGAGGTGCATGTCAGCCAGTTCAGCATTTGAATGCTCATCCATCCTACTGCCTGACAGACCTGTTTGCAAATGCTGATTTTAAACACGATAGCTGTTCACACAACTTCCTGTGCAGTGCTATGTCATTCTGAATCATCTTTGCCTCCTACATCTCCTATAAGATTGTTCTGCTGATAGCAAATCCCCCTGTATAAATATTTTCAAGTGGAAAGTATAATGCATATAAATTTAAATATATAAGGTGCATGAATCTAAAATGTTGTGTGCATCAAGCTTTCAAAAATTTTAGAAATTACGAAATGCATATTAATGGCAAATTAATTTAATGATTGACCCTCCTATATGGTTACAAATAGTAGATCTCTTGAAATTTCAGTTGCAATTTATAATATTAGCTTTAAAAACCATTTATTTGGTGCAAGATTAAAATTTCCAAGCCAGAAGGAATTTTTATGGTAACCTTATTTTGAGAAACTTGAAGCATTTATCAATAAAAATGAAGCATCTGCTGTCTGAGTTTGAATAAAATGGGCAAAGTCAGGAATAAAATGTTACACTCATGAAATCAAGTGTGAGAAAGAAAACATCATAATCAGATTTATTGTGAATAAAATTTATGCGTTTATCCATGTTCAGTCATATTTTTCCCCCTCCTTGAGAAAACTCATTTCCATCTTGCACCAAACAAACAGTTTTTGAAGAACGTAAACTGCAATTTAAACTTCAAATAATATTTTATTGGTTACTTGAACTAATTATTGCTTTTTTTCGGGGGGGGGGGACATATTTTGCTCTTGAACTTGAAAGTGGATCTTATGTATGCAAGATTTCCTTCAGTTTTGTCTATGGAGGAAAATGCAAATCTGTATGCAACTTGAATTAAAAATACTGTATACGATATGGATCTTTTAAAAAACATTTTCTTTGTTTTAGATACGAGTTTATAAATATAAGGGTAATATGCACAGATTTCTTTAGTAAGAATGATGTAACTTCATGAGCAAGACAAGCCACAGGCACCAGCATGGAATAAAATCCTTTTATTGCTTTTTCTACTTAACCATGTATGGTGCTATCAAGTAGAAAAAGATATTGCACATGACTATGAATATGTAATTCCATGAAACTGCCTGTGGATTGCATGTGATTCTATAGAATGAATATGCACAGAAATCTTAAATAGCTAAGAAGTGCAGGTGACAGTTTTTAGAAGTGATGCTCATGTCTTTGGGAAGGCCTGTTATTATTGATAGAAACATTATAACAGATTAATTAATTAATTTTCTGTGGATAGGACATGTCTGCGTAGTGAAAATGATTTCATAGGAGTATTGACAGTATTGTTTCAAGGGCAACTTTGTTTTTCAGTTTGATTACTAGAATATACCTCAGAATGCTCTGAAATGTCAAAACAATGCTCTAAAAAATCTTTTAAATGCTTTAAAAGAAGAAAATACCTTATTTTATTTTTTTAATGCATATGTCATCAAAATCCAGGTCTTGGTGATCACTACTTCTTATCATCTGATGTACACTGCTCAACATTGAAAATGCAACACCAAGAAGGAGTGGTCAGAAAGTGATGAAATTTGGAAAAAAGACAGAGACAGCAAGCAGCAATAAAGTGATCTTTATTTCAAAATGATAGTCAGAATACAGAGCGAGAACAACATCGGCTCAGTAGGATGAAGGACCACCGCGGACAGCGATGCACGAAGAAACACGTCTGGGCATAGAGTCCATGAGAGTGCAGATGGTGTCCTGAGGGATGGCTCTCCAATCCCTTTCAACCATTTGCCACAGTTCGTCTTCTGAACGAGGCAGGGGCAGAGTCTGCTAACCGCATCCAATCACAATCCACACATGTTCGATTGGTGACAGTTCAGGAGAGTACGGTGGCCAGGGAAGCATCTGTATACCTTGCAGAGCATGTTGGTAGATGCAAGCAGTATGTCGTCAGGCATTATCCGCCTGAAAAATTGAATTAGGCAGCCCCTGAAGGTAGGGGATTGCCACCGGCCACAATACATTATCCAAGTATCGTTGGGCCATCATAGTGCCCTGAATACGAACTAGAGGTGACCTGGAATCATAGGCAATAGCGCCCCAAACCATTATGCCATATTGTCACACGGTGGGGTGTTCCGCAGTTACTGCAGGATTAGATCTGCCTCCACATAGACGCCACACACGTATGCGCTGACTGTCACTGGATAAACAAAAGCGGGACTCATCTGAGAACACGACATCGTGTTCTCAGATGAACGTTTCATCTTTCATCCACATCGCTCCAGTCCGGCACCATTCTAAATGTTGGCGTGTATGCTGTTGGGTCAATGGCAGTCTTCTTAACAGACGACATGAGTGCAGGCCACGTTCAACCAATCGATGAGAAATGGTTCTGGTCGACACAGGAACATCCAGGGTATCTTGCACATGCTGCAGAATCTCGGTACAAGTGACTTGAGGGACCGCCACACCTCGTCGGCGGATGCGTCGATCCATGCATGCCGACATCACTTTTGCTGCACCTGCACCCCTCCTTCTTCCCACATTTCCTTGTTCCAACCATGTTCACCATAACTGATGCACCGTGCTCGCATTCATGTGGGTATCGGCTGCAATTTGACGTAAGGACCAACCTGCCCTTCTCAGACCAATCACTATACCCCTCGTAAAATCGTCTATCTGCTGGAAGTGCCTTCGTTGACGGTGGCCTAGCATTCTCTCTTATTACATGTATTCTCCAGGAGAAAAACCAACTTTCTTTGATAATTTGTCTGTCAGAAATAACAACACGAATATTGCCCATTCTGCACGTTCCTTACCTTATATTTTACGTCACGTGCGTCGGAGAGTTGCACATTTCACATCATTCACATAACTCAGTGACGTGTGTCTACTCTAAAATTTGCATAAATTTCTGACCACTCCGTCTTGGTGTTGCATTTTCAATATCGAGCAGTGTATAACTTTACTTCTTATCGTCTGATGTATAACTTTATTTCATTTAGATCTGAGAGTGTTTAATTTTTTAATCATAGTATCCCATTCTAATTCAAATCAAGTATTTAAAATAAAATTTTTACATTGTACTTTTTCCCATTAGTTTTCTAATGCAAAAATCACTTCATATTATTCATATGTATTTATTATTTGATAATTAATATATTTATCATTATTTTGATCATTAGTATTTCTTTTTCATTACATTGCAGACTTGGCACAGATTTATATCTTGAAGTAAACCACATCAGTCCATAAGCTACTAAATTAAAAAGTCTTATGTATGTGATTCATTATATGTGTTGCATTAGATTTATAACAATTTTGACTTTTACTCCATGATTATTAAAATAATAATGTGTAACATGTTTGGAAATTGTATAATTCATTTTTTCCTGTATTTCTATTTACTTCTGTTTCCAGAATTTTTCTTATTATAAACTCATAATAAAATATCTTTTCAAGCATTTTTATTCGGGATTTAATGTAAACACTGATTGTGTTATTAACCACTTGCGCTATGATTAAACTTAACGTTTGCAGTGCTGTGCGCTACAATATAACAAGCAGTAAAGTGTCTCATTTATGCCGCTCCACATCTGCGAGTGTGATCCAGAGCTGTAACTTGAGATATAAACTGTTTGAAATAAATCAGTTCTTGATTTATTTAGTAACTTCAGACGAATGGTAATATATTTCGCAGAGAAAACCTAATTAACAACGAACTTATTTATTTAGCATTCTGAACATTACAAAAAGAATAACATTCCATGAGTTATCAAGCTCAAAGTAATATATAAAAAAAAACAGCTGTTGCCACGAAAAATCTACATTATAATGCGACAAAATATCTGCATTATTAAATTATTGTGTATTAACTGAATTCGTGCACGTTCCTAAACATAAACAATCTCGTTGTTAGGCGACGTGTGCACCACGTTATTTTCATTTTTGCGATAAATGCCTATCCCTATCGACGTGGTGTTCACGTCGCTTGCAGTTTGAGACAAAAGCGTCTCGACGTGCGTGGCGCGTCTTTTTAGCGCAAGTGGTTAATATTGCCATGTTGCAAAGATGATTTAGTTTTTAATATTGAAACTAAAATTTTACAGATAATAAAAATTACTTTTGAGACTAAATTGATGAATAACATAATAAAAATTATTTTATTATACTATTAATAATTTTTTCTTTATTATGATTTTTTAATGAATGAAAATTCTTAACAGGTGTTATCTAATCCATTTCCGGATATTATTCCAAGGGTAGTGGAACAGGTTCCTCAAGATGTTCCTGAGAAACCAAAAGAAAAAGTTAAAAAGTATGTTTTTTTATTATTAAGTTTTTTACTTTTCTGGAGGACCTACTTTCTGATTATTTGCAGCCTCCCCCCAAAATTTGTGAATTCATCTGTAACTTTGGATAGCATTTGTAAAATCACTGTCAACTTACTTTTCACCAAACTAATGTGTGAAAGGTAAAAGCAGTTTTCAAAATGGTGACATGTTAAGAATTCCATAAAAGAGCAATCAATCAATAAAATTTTAAAAGGAAGAATCATGGGTAATAAAACACCTGACTTTCCAAAAAAGTCCCATAAATCTGTAATTTCCCCCCTACTGTTGTCCTCCCTATGATCTGGATTCAGTAAAACAAATTTATTTATTTATTTTAAAACTGCCAAACATTAGCACTTAAGCCATTCGTTCACAGGCTCTCCACCCACCAGCGGCAGAGCGGTAAAGATGCTGAACACTGGTAGTTTGGTCCGAGGTTCGAATCCCGCGAATGGGCTGCTGCATGGGCGTTTTCATGGTTTTCCCCATGTGTAATGTGTATACGAGCCAGTTTCCCTTAGAAAGTCCTCCATGAAGGCATCCCTCCCTTTAGGCAGATAGCCCTTGTATGCTTTGCCATAATTGAATAATCCCAATCCCTCACAGGCTCTCCAGTACTTTTTAACAATGTCCTCATACCGAGAAAGTGCAGTACAATTATTGAAATGTTAAAAAAAACGTAGGCTGACTGGAGTCAAACAAAATACAGTTTGGAGAATCCACCATTTCGGTTCTGTAGAGGTGGTCTCGGAAACAGTCATGTCTGCTCAGACGTCTAAATAGAGTTACCGCTGTCTTTCTTGAAAAACTGGGAATGAAAGTTATGTGTTCCCCCAGAAACCTCCAACTCTTACCCATAGCATATTGAATCATATCCTGCTTAAGAATTTTCTTAAGAGTCAGGTTAACAGACAGTTTAGTCGTATAAATTGAAAGTGGTCAATTAATGCGTTGAATTATGAAAGTTCCTTTCTTAAGCAATGTATCAGCTTTTTCATAATTCCACGGTGTACTGGAATCCACTGGAAAGAAATCCTGGGTGCCATTGCCTTAACACGTTCACGCCGGGGCCAATATTTATGTTCTTCGCCATGAGACGGCGCACGAATTTTTGCTGCGTTTCATTTGGTGGCGTGCGATTATTATCTGTTCAGACCTGTATACGAGTTGTATATTTGCTAATAGTTATTAATTATAATTGTTATTATAAAGTTTTTATAATAAATAAACATTAATTTTTTATTATTTTAATTATCAGTGTCTAATAACACAATCGAATGCGTACCATCAGTCGCACGTGCCGCACGATAAGACAGACTAGTGCGGGCCACCGGTGTTACGTGCCACCCAGTGAGACAGACTAGTGTGGGCCACCGGTGGCCCACACTGGCATGAATGTGTTAATCAAAGGCCTACAGACTAACATTCTTTGGGAACTATTTTGATTACGCAGAAGAGCTTGAAGTGCACTATTGATATCTGACAATATGACTGCCTTTACAAAAGAGTGGCTACAAATCGACAGTTGTTGAATAGCCACAGCAATAGCTTCGATTTCCCCATCAAAGGCAGTATTAAGAGGGCCCATTGGTAAGTAGAAACTAAAAAGCTCGCTATGGATACTTTCTCCAGCACCACATGCTCTCTCTAAGGTAGAGCCGTCAGTGTAGACATGCAATCACTCATTTTGAGGATAGCCAACCTAGAGCCGTCAGTGTAGACATGCAATCACTCATTTTGAGGATAGCCAACCCCAATAGTTTCTATTGCAATAGATCTTAATTGTGACATGCTCATTTTGTTTTTAACAACTATTTGAATGATATCAAGATATATATTCAAATTCAAAAAGTCCAAGAGACAAATGGGAAGGAGGTAAAATTAGATAATCTTCGTTCATTTCCAAAGCATCAGATTCTGTCTTAGCCACCTGTATAAAGCCAAGTTGAGTTTTAATCTTCGACAAAACACTAATCAATGCAATAGGTTGATAGCTTTTAATATTATCTGCAGGTTTATCCTTTTTCAAAATAGGGATAATAATTTCCTTTTTTCCATGTAGAGAGTACATAAGAGTTTCAACAATGATTAAAAATACATTTGAGCATTGTATCCTAGATTTTTAATAAACTTTGGATACATATTATCTGGGCCTGGATTTTTCCTATCTTTAGGAAAATAATAGCTTCTTCTAGTTCTAAAATGCCAAAATCTCTATCAAAAATCTCTTGTCCAAAGTCTTATGGGAGTCCTTGATCAATTTCTTCGTCAGCTTTTAATCTCTCTTAAGTTCACCACTCAAACTTTGATTAGAAGCATAAAAATTCATAAAAGCGTTAGAAATATCCTTGTTTCCTTTAAAAATGATTGCTACCTAAAACACTACACAAAAATATTTTTTAAAATGCCCCTTTGGGCATAATATAAAATCTGAAAGCTTTCAGATTTTCTTCGTAAACTTTGAAAGTCCCCCCCCCCTTTTTGCTTTACACATGCTCATTTGATACTTTTTTCTTTTTTTTTTTTCCACATGAAATATGGAGAATCTTGATTCAATTTTCACTTCCTAAATAACATACCTCCATGTTGAAGAAACAGTATTTTATTAGCATAAATCTATTTATGTGATCAATAATTTAATTCCCTAGCTGCCTTTTTATTTTGCATACATCTCAAATCAAAACATTCTATATCCACCTACCTATTAATAGCTTCTGTTGCTAACCTGGCAAATTATTATTTATTATTTTTTACTTTCATTATTACATAACTATCAATGAAAAGGCAGCTTGAGAAATGACTCTTGCAGCCATGTCTAAACAACTTTTTTGTGGTGATATAATATAATATTTTGAAGTTGATATAATAGAAGTTTTTCATTGTGATCACAGTGCCCCAGTCATCAGTCAACTAATGGATGGCAGATCTGTAGTATGATTCCAAATACAGAAAATATTGCAACCAATAATGAAGAAAGTGGCAGAGAGGTTGTTGTGAACAAAAAAATTTCAATTGACAATTTCTCAACATGGCAATTGCAGGGCTTACAGCAAGAATATAACTTTGTAATGAGCAAGAAATCATATGTACTGTCTACAGAATTAAAGAGAAAATATTAGCATACTAACAACTTACATTGAAAGAAATGCTTAATAAAGCAAACAAATAATTATTGAACTTTTTTTTATTGTAAATTTTGATTCCCTTAAGGTCATAAATGCTCTATTTCATGTTTTTTTTTTTTTTTTTTTTAAATTATTATTATTATTTCCATATGTTATCTTACTAGATTAAAAGTGATGATCTTATGTCCAGAAAAATACTAAATCCAGAATCACCAAGTTCCTGACAACTCCAAATCTCGCCCTTTTTATACTCAATTACAAAAGAAACAGTAATCAGAAAAATGATGTTTGAATTTCTAAAGTACAAATCCACATATACTTAAACAGAAGTGTATTACCCCACATACATGAGTTGCCACATAAATACTTTCTGCCGCCATTGTGAATTGCCTCACAATTATTTTGGTGGCATGCTGCATTTTTTAAGACTTCAATGGAAATGCAGATAATTAGAAAGTAGGTTTCTCTTTCAACTGTTCTTTTCTGATTTATGAGGTTTTTTTAACTGCTTTTATATCTATCTTGTGTAAATATTTTTCTTGTACTTAAAATTTCTTTTCAAATTTGTCTTCTTAAAATTTTTGATATAGAAATTTTAAACTATTGTCTTTTGGAGAAGAAGCTGAAGAAGACGAAGCTGAAATGGAGGCTGTAAATGAGGTGTGTCTGGTTTTCATGTACTATTTCACAATCAAATATTTCGTTAAATATGTAGATATGGTCAAGGAGTTTTAAGAGGAATTTTGTGCCATATCATATACGGTATTTAAGTGCTATGAAACATTAATAATTTTTCTGTTCATTTCACATTTCAAGAAGCAGTCAACTTATTCAGTTTATCTGGGTAATTTGCCATCATCAATACTGAATCTGCTGGTACATAAATCTAGATTCATGTTTGTCAAAGCGATTTCTCATAGGTAGTTTAATCCATTTGATTGTATAAAGCAAATCTGTCAGATTTTACCTATTTAGTTATTACCTATCATAATTTAAATCACTTAAATTAGGAAATAGATGTTTATCTGAGTTTATTAAATTTGTTTTTAAAGCCCAAGGCCCAAGAGCTTATTAGTCATATATTTAAACATAAAGAAAGAAATCTGTATTAAAAATAGATTATGATATACTGAAAATATAAGAGTAGTATTTTAAAGTTCAAAAGCAGTTTTATAGAGCTGATAAAAGTTGGTGATTATTTAACTAAAAATTGTGCCGTAATAAATTATATATAATTTCCAAATCATTGCTTAAGTATTTAGCTCAGAGCAAGAATAAATAATTACCAAATTAAAAAATAAAGGAAGAATAAATAAATAATATTGAATTTCAGTTGCCTACACAAGTATTATAAATATAAATAAAATGTTTGTAATTTCTGACTATTAGCAACCAAACCAAAAAATTCTGAACTTGTTACTGATTTTAGAAAGCATTCGCAAACTCATTGCTGACTATTGTTTCGCCAAGCTAATATGCAATATCAAACAACCGTTTTCAAAATACCTTTTTTGAGAAATCCTTTTTTTCCTGTATTTTCTTTTTGTTCCTTTTTATTCTTTCCATGTGCACAGTAATCTGTTTCACTTTTAAAAAAAAAAAAAAATCAGATAACTGCACAACTCGGCATTCGTACAACTTCGGCATCGTACACTGGCCAAAATAGACATATGCTGCATGCATTACCACTACCATATAACTATTTTGCTTACATACTGCTTTGCCTCATGAATACTTTTATGTAACTTTTTGATGGTATTGTAAATAATCCAAAAACACCAAAATACACTCTATAACAGGGATGGGCAAACTTTTTTGGTCACAGGCCAAAAATCGAAAGAAAACAGTTTTGTGGGCCAAGATAAGTTTTTCTAAAATTTTAAAAACAATATACAAGTATTACAAATTAAATATGTTTATGAGATGAATGAAATTGCGATTTCATTTTTAAAATTCCTTATATTGAAGTTCGAACTGATTCTAAGGAATGAGGCTAAATGCTCATTTGTCAGTCTACTTCTGAAATAATTCTTTCCAAGGTTTATAGTTGAAAACACTTTTTCACATATATAAGATGAAGCAAACATAGCACTGATTTTCTGGGCATGAGATATTAAATTTGGGAAACTTACTTTCGATAATGAATTGTAAAACTCAAACTTTGGCATATTTAGAAACAACTTCTTGAGATCATTGTTAGATTGCAAATCAATTAATTCAAGTTGCAAATAGGACCTCACTCCTTCACAATTTACGTTGAAAGCCATGATAAAAATATCCAGTTCTGTTTGAATGGCACTGAAATCTGTGTTCAAACTCAAAATGCAGTTTTTTCAAGCCATCTTCATAATTCTTAAGCTTCTCTTCATATACTGAGGGTAAATTTAACCTTGGGAAATGAGACAACTTCTTAGCTAGATGCCCAGCAAACAGATTAAGTTTTATTAAGATAATTGAGTTAAGATTAAGTTTTTCTAAGAGGTCTAATTCACCTATTTTGAATTCCCATATGTCTGCTCGAGAAAGAGATAAAGCTTGTTGGTGCCAGTCTACACCTACAAACTAACAAAGACCTTTTGCTTTTAACACGTTACCGATTGAAAGCTCCGTGTGCTTGCAATTTTTGTCGATTTATGTTTTGTAAAACAAAAATAGAGAAAGTAAAAAGATCATCAGTTCTTTGAAAAAAAAGGAAGAAAAAAATATTTAAACAAAGTAGAAAAGGAGATGGATATATAATATATAAATATATACTTCTTTTAATTTGCCTTGGACGGGCAAATTAAAATCTATCCGCGGGCCGGAGTTGGCCCATCCCTGCTCTATAACAACAAAAAAAAAATCAATGCTCCAAGAAGGAGTAGTCCGATGAAGACAAAAATTGGTGGATAGGAAGATTATGTACAGAATAGAAAATTATTAAAATTTCAGAACAATTGAATGATTTATTTCAGAATTACATAGTTACACAATAACGAGCTCAATAAAGGTGTTTGACCCACCTCTAGCCTGGATGCCAGCTGCCACATGGCACAGCATAGACTGATAAAGCTCCTGGAGAGTCTCCTGTGGTATTTCTAGCCAAATTTGCTCCAATTGTCGAGCTAGGTCATCAACATTCCCTGGTAGATGCAGTCGCCTTCCCATCATATCCCAGACATGCTCGATGGGAGTGATATCTGGCTGGCCAAGGAAGTGTTTGACAAGCTGTAAGACAGTTCAGAGCAACATGTGCAGTATGTGGTCTGGCAATATCTTGCTGAAAACTAAGGCCAGAGTACTGCAAAAGGAGCGGTAGTAAAGCAGTTCTCAGAATGTTGTCGACATACTGCTGTGCTGTAAGTGCACCTCTAATGACGACCAAAGAGGTCCATCTATCAAGGGAAATGGCACCCCGGACCATAACTCCTTGTGGAGGGCCTGTGTGGCATGTAATACTGAAAGCAGGATCGGCATGCTGCTCTAGGCATCTCAAGGCACCTCTTGGATGATCATCACAACACAGTTGGAAGCAGGATTCATCACTAAAGACTATACATCCCCATTCAATGCCATTCCAACCTGATTAAGCCGAGCACCACTGTGATCTGGCTCAACAGGAGTAGCAGGTGGTGTAATGGTCAGTACGAGCATAGATTTCGCTCTCTCAGCTATCTGTGAATGGTCATGGTGGACACTTGTGTGCAGGTCACACATCTGATAGTTGATAGTGATAAATCAGGTGCTGTGACAGCTGATCTGACAATCACTCTGTTCTCCCGATCTGTTGTAGCCCTAGGTTGACCCCTACCATCATGATGCTGAAATCTGCCATTGTCCACCCATTCTTGCCAGCATCTTCTAATCGCTTCGACTCATATGATGAACAATTCTCCGATTTGCCCAACCTGCCTCTTTCAATCCAACCTCTTTCAAACTCTGACAGTTGCTCATAATGAGCTTGAATCATGCAGCAAGGCATTTTTTTCAGTTGTTGAAAGGTATTCCTAAATTTCAATGCAACCAAAATTATTAACAACAGTTCCTTATACACATCTGCTGGATGTGCTGGAGATTGCACTATTCATTCATTCAACACCAAATTTTAATCATCTGAATATGTAGTCAAAACATTTACACATACGAAAATTCAAAGCAATCAAATGATTCCTTCTTGGTGCTTCGATTTTTTTTTTTTTTTTTTTTTTTTTTTTTTTTTTTTTTTTTTTGTTGTTGTTGTTATAGAGTGTATCTAAAACATTTTTTAAATGATGTACTCTTCAATCAGTTTGTATTTATCTTTCAAACTATAATGTATTCTTATAATTATCAATGAAACTTAACTTCAGAGCATATCTACAAATTTCGGATTAGAAAAAGTACAAAAAATGTATGAGAAAAGTAATAAATTTTTTAAATGCTTTATATATCTTATTAGTTTTGGAGAAATATATAATTGAAAAATTATGTAAGTAATTCAAAAAATCTATTTGAAAAATGAATTAGAAATGCATTAAGAATAAGTATTGATTGAAAAGTATAAAGAATTAAAATATGCTGTAAAAATTTTATTTCCCACGTTTTCATGTTTCCATTTTTCTTTAGTCCTGACAACTTTTTAAGAACTGAAAAATAAATAACATAAAATTTATTCATATAGATCTTTGTTACACCATTTGTTTTCATACTGTCTGGTTTTGGGAGTAATTAATCGAAATTCAAGTATTGAAATGCATTTTTAAATGCTAATGTCTGGCCAATTAAAAATGTTAGTTTTTGATTATCGTGTTGTTTTTATGTTTGATATTTGTATCATGTATAATATAGTAAAATTATTATAAGTCAATCTGAATACTGAATTATGGAATTAAAAATTAATGTAAACTTTTGATAAGTCAAATTTTTTATTGTTTAAAATTATTTTATCTGCTTTAACAAATCAAATTTTAGTTCTATATGAACAAGAATTTTCTTTTTATGTGTCATAAATGTAATTTGCTCTTAAGAAGGCTTCTGCAAAATGTTTTTGATTACTTTTCTTACTAGTAAGTTATGAAATAGAAATGTAATGAAATGATTTGAGAAAGTTAGCAGCTAATATTGACACAGCAGAACATATTAAAAGAAAATAAAAGTTTTCAGAAAATATTAACAGCAAGGAAAAAAAGAAATGAGCAACTAGAATTTAATATTTTGCTAACTTTGCATTTTTGTTTTTCAAAAATCTATAATTCTTAATGTTCTTGTAATGAACATAAATAAATAATGAATATATCATAATGAACTTAATTTTGGGTTGTAAATAACCATTGTAATATAAGAATGGCTTAAAATTCAAAATCTATTTCCTGGAGCATTTCTGATATCTTTATAATATGGACTTAGCTTATTCAGAAAAAAAGAAAAGACAAGTAAAAGTAAGCACAATAAAGAATTGCATTCTAATCCAGATAGAACTATATAATATAAGCTCTATGTTCTTTTTTTCATTTCCCAGGATTACCATCCCAAATAGTATGGTGGGTAGCAGAGGCTAATCAATTCTCATACATTTGATCTGGTTGCAAATCCCAAATAAGGCATGATTATTTGTAACTATAATATCTGTGTGATATGCGGACTCTTCACATATGTCAGGCCAAAAATATATTGAAAGAAGTGATTGTCACAGAAGCAGGGTTCATATGGTCCATGAGAGTCCTTAAAAGACCTTAGGTTTTTTTTAAATTGATTTTTGGTCCTTAAAAGTCCTTAATTTCAACCAGATTTGGCAGGAGGTCTTTAATTTTAATCATCTGAAATTTCTGTCTGTTTTTATGACTGCCATTTTGAATGTGGATTAACATTTTGGACAAATATCGGCGATTCATTGATAAATAAATATCTTTAATTGACAAATCTTTTGAATGTTTAAATAGGTTCATGGGTTATAATTTGTCTGTATTTCTAATACAAACGGTAGGATGGTCAAGTTTCTGAGCAAGAAGTGAAACATAAGCATTTTTAAATTATTTCATTTTTTCTAATGAAGAGCTCTTAAACATCTATTATCTTTTGGAAATGTGAATTCTTTATTAAACGGTTCCAAATTTGGCACTTATCAACATTTTGGCAAATTTAAGATCAGTTCCTAAAGAAAATTTTTAAATTCGGAAATCTAGGAATTTTTCGAGGATACTTTTTTAAAACATTATAACATTGATGAAATTCAGTAAAATAATGCTAATATATTGAAATTGTATTCAAGAAATAACATTAAAATGAAAAAAAATTTTTTTTCACTGTCATATTATAAAGTGACATTACTTTCTATTTTGGTGACTTATTATTCAATATTTTGCATCTGAAAAGTAACTAAGGTAATAATTGCTTAAATTTTGCTTTAACACAGTTTGTGAATTTTTAGCAAAAGATGCTATGTAATTAACTGAAGATGCCTTTTTAATTTTTTCATGGTAAGAGTTTTTCCTGTGTAATTTTCTTAATATGCATCAGTTTTCTCTTTAAAATTAAATTTACACTTTTGCTCTCTTTTTTTTTTTTTTTTCCCCCCCCCCAACATATTTCTGGCTTTTTGCTGTTACAGTTCTGGTAGAGATAATTTTTCTTTAAGATTTTAGACATTGCCACTTGGAAAGTTTAGAAGGATTTCAAGGCAATATTTATAGACCCATGAATCTAGAAGGTTCCAGAAAAATGTCTTTATAGTATTAACACGTAATAGATGTATTTTACAGAAAGTATGTGATGTACTTTTAGGAGAATTTTTGGAAAAACAATGAAAACATAATATTTTAATGTTTTACTTCTGATACTAGAAGTCTTTTTCTTAACATGTTTATCTTCCTTTTGTATTTTCTACTTTTCACTAGACACAAGAATGGAAAATATCAAAAATGCATCTAATCTTATCACACAGACAGGCATTTATGGAAAGGAATTTTTCTGTTAATTAAGAAATTGAAAACTGACAATTTAAAAGATTCATCTTAACATGTCTCAGTGCATCATCAGTGCCGTAGCTAGGGTGGGGCAAGGAATAGGGACATGTATCTTTGGGCCATCCATGGGGTGCCAAGCTGATGTTACAAAATTTTAGAATGAAATGTTTTTCTTTCTTGGCATACAGAAGGGGTTGCAAAAATCTTCAGTTGTCCCTGGTTGCTGAAAACCCTAGCTTCGGCTCTGTGCATCATACACAGAATTGGCATTACGCATTTTCCCACCTGATGCAGTCTCCTGTGGCTCATAAATTCTGCTGCTTTGAATTTTCTAGATTTTGTTGCTCGGTGTGTCAGTAAATTCTGAAAATTCTGCTACATCCGCTCTGTAGCCAACCCTTACCATATATCATTTCATATTTATTCTGAATGTTCACATGTCTAAGGAAATAAAATTTGCACCTTTTCTTTTACATTCTAAATGAATTTAGTTTTTTAGAATAACAGAAATCTTTAATTAGATCCAAAAATTCTAAAATGAAGAAGTAACATATTGAAGAAAGAAACCAAATTAATAAAGAGCAAGAAAAAGTATTCGTCAAAGATATGTACAGTTATTATTATGCAAATTAAGCAGTTGTTTGTAATTTTCCCTTTCTGTTTCCTCATCAGAATGAAAAATCACTTAGCTAGTTTTTAAACTGAGGTTTTGGGGTTGTAAGACAGAATTTGTTTCTGTAGTTGATTTTGCTAGCATAAGAACATGCCTTTATATTCTAAGGTATTTTTAAATAGAATTTTTATTTAAACCTTTGTCTGACTTCGTAGTTACTTTCAGACATAGCGATACTTTGCTTCATGTTTATCAGGGGTTTTGGACTGTTTAACTTTTATCAGATCAAATAAAACCTCATAGGTACATAGTCAAAAGAATGACAAGTTAGGAGATAAAACACACAGAAACTAGTGAGAATATTGGTTTGCATATTGAAACAAAGTTCTAATTGTTAGAAAAGATGCTTAAAGAGAAGAAAATTGATATAAATTAGCCAGAATGTCTGGAAAGGCTTCAAATGAAATAGATGCACAAATATTTTGTTGAGTATTGTTATTACAAAATGTAAATGTTTTGTAGCTTTTAATGTGTGGTTATCTTAATATCATTTAAGAGTCAATGTCATAAATTACATGTATTTTAAGCTGTGACTTGTTAATAGATTGTAATTAGCCCAAAGCAGCGTTAAGTCAGAAGGGGTATTAATTTCGTATTGGTATTTTGGGTCAGTTCACTATAAATGGGGAATCACTTTTGAAATTGTTATCACAAAACATTATCACCCTGTATTATATTTAAAGAAATTAAATAATGAAGAATCTGTATAAATATATGTATGTATCTGACACTGCGATAAAAACTACAGTACCTGGAGCCATCAAATTTTGAATAATGTATGTCTCTACCCGAATATAGGCATCTAGAAGCCCAAATTTTGAATTTGTTTTATTATTCATTTCATATTTTGTAAAGCATGAGTTTTTCATTAAGAAACTCAACGATTTCAAAGCGAGCAATGGCAACAGTATACGCTGGAAAAAAAGCATTTTTATCTCTAGCCTGTGAGACTGTGTATAGGAAATTCGAAAGCTATGCCCTTTTAAATATTTTGAGATATTGCTGTTGGATTGAATTTTATGGTTAAAATGGGAAGAACAGGATATTTAAAATTATTTAAAATAAGTAACACACAAAAAGTTAAAAAACGCCCGTTTGGGCATAATATAAAATCTGAAAGCTTTCATACTTTTTTTAATAGTGCTTTTTTAACAAATATTTTAAAAGTAAATTTGATAGTGGCCATGTAAATCTATAATGACGAAGAGTATCAAAGTAACTAATTTAATTATTTATAACTAACTGGTCACCCTTAAATGTTATTTCTGCATATTAAAGAGAGGTATTGCCTTTCATTAATCTTTACCATAGTCACAATATACAGCACAAAAATGTAAAACTTAATTCTTTGCATTCTAGTGAGATTTAAAATAATACAAAACAACTTATCACCTCTGGTGCTTTAGTGGCTTATTGGAACCTTAAAATATACTAACTGGGTTACAACCCCAGGTAACCCATACACGAAGTTATGACACTAACTGCACCAACTGTGCTTTCAGGTTTGTTCTGATCACCAAGCCTCTCTCTAAGCAAGCAGAAGCAGTGGCAACAGTCAGTCTTCTATAACGAATCATGCTGATTATGATTTTACTTCTCATTTTAACCTATGCCGTTAGACGTAAGACTGCTGTTTACTAAACCTCTAAACTGAGCAAGTACGTGACAAAATGCGACATAAAAGAAAAAAGTCAACATAAATCTAGTAAAACGTAAATAAAATGTCACTAATCTTCGTTTTCAAATATGTCCAACTATTATAAAGGTAAAATATTTAATGCTACCTGATAAACTTTATAAAGTTGATTTTATTCTTAAATTTGTTTTATAACTATGTTTATTAAATTGTGTTTAATAATAATGCATTCTACTTGTGGATCTATTTTATTCTTAGGCTGGTGTAACAAAAAAGAATTTCAGGCATAGCTAATATCTTTACTAATTGAATTTATTCAGTTCCCATTGTTGATGGGTCCTTCATTTTTTCATTAATGGTCCTTAAGTATTTCTATGTGCAAAAGTGTGTGTGAACCCTAAGAAGAGATGTATGGATTCAGTTATGTTATTTGAACATAACAAAGCACACAGTGGCTACCTACCTAAGTGTAGGGATGCCTTTGTAGAAGACTAAGTAAAAAAGTAGTAAGGGAAATTGGCTGATATTTATGTTACACATGAGCAAACCCAGCCATGCAGCCATCCCATTCATCTGGGTTCGAACCCAGGTGGAACGCCTAGTAATAGCCAGCCTTAATCACTTGACAACTGGCAGAGTCAGAAAAGAGGTATGACACCCTTGGATTCTATCTCTTGGAGGACTCAGACCAGATTAGGATGGAGCACAGTCAAATAACCCTTGTGATTATGTCTAAATCAAAATAATTCATTTTTCTGAAATAATTGAGAACATTTTCAGGGAGACTTAAATAAAGTATATATATGAATTTATTATTAACCATAAAAAATATTAGTTATTTAAAAAAGCTGCTAATGAAAATAAACTATGCAATATATGTTGCATTTATCACCTCCCAAAGTTTTTTTAAATAAGTATGAAAAACATTCCAAAAAAGCATATGTGCATAATTTTAGAAGAAACAGATGTTTCGAATTCTTTAAACTACCCATATTATTTCAACAAATATATGCAGTTGTAATTTACCAGTTCACAAAAGTATAAGAGTTATTTTGAAGAGATTTTTATGTTAATCAAATATTTAATTTCTCATTTTAAATCATTACATAATGTAATGTTCTCTTTTCTCCATTAGGTTTATAAAGGCCAGAGTAAAAGTAGTCATGATTTAGCTAATGACCCAAAACTAAGTTCAGTTCCAGCAATAAATCTATCTGATAATAGAACATCCTATCAAGAATCAAAAGCTATAACTCTTGAGAATATAAAAAAGAAATTTGAGCATGCGATTACAAATAAATCTCTTGAAGAGCCAAAAATTTCAAATGAAAAAGAGGAATTGGAAGATAGTGCAGTTGATGAAAGGTTAGTCTAGATATTTTTGTGTAATTACTATGCATTGAGATTGATGTGTATTCACAATACCATTTATTTTAAATGTATTTATGAAGCATGGATTCTCTCCATTCCATGATTGAATTCCCGTTGATTTTTCTTTCAACAAATGTCTGAAAGTTTTTTTTTGACCCACTGTGGATAAATAAGGTCAAATTATAGTGATACATTATGTACTAAAAGACATTAACAATATTTAATCAAGTATATTGCATTATGGGCCATATTACTAAATAAATTAATGCCAAAAGTTTTGTTTTCTCTCTTTCTCATATGCATAACATTAAAGGATTCAGTCATTTTAATCTAAAGTAAATTGCACAATTTAAATTTTTCTAAGCAGCACTAATAATAGTTGCACACCACTATTAGTACTCTAGCTTTATTAGCGTCATTACTCTTATACTTTAGGCCATTATTGCGACAAATAGAAACTTCAGAATAGTGGCACACTAAGATTTCCATAAAAAAGCAGTCAGTAAAGTTAAAAAAGCAAGAGATTTTTTTTTTTTTTTTTTTTTTTTTTTTTTTTTTTTTTTTGTGTGTGTGTGTGTGTGTCTACTTTTGTTCTCTTCATGAGCCCAATGATATGTTTTCACTTACAAAAACATCAGAGAAAAACACAACTTTTACATTACATACTAGAAAACAATAAATAAAATGAATAGGTGTTGTAAATGAGATACTGCTATGTTCAAACCGTTCCATAAAATTTGGTCATTTAAGAAGTAGAACTTCAATAGAATGTGAATTTTTGCATTCTCTATTCTTGGGCAGAATGTCTTATTTTTGCACAAATGCATCACTTTCTTTTTCATCAACAGGCTAGATTTTATGGAAATGCGATGTGAAAAATTGCCAACAAAGTGTTAGAATCCATGTTTTGGAAATTAGTTTGATGATAGCTATATCTTGCTTACAGCAGCTATTCGCTTTATTTATTTTTGGATGATGCACAATATCAGTGTGGTGCACAGTGGAATTCTTAGTGCACCATTCTGAAAATGGCTCTTGCCTTTGCTGTGTAAGCTTGGCAAAAAATTAGTCATTAATAAGTTCACAAATAGTTTCCAAAGACCCCATCCTTTTTGATGGAGATGTGGATAATCGGAAAGTACCAAAGTAAATGAAATGAAATAAAATATACAGTGTGTCCTGTAAATCTTGCGACAAACTTCTGAGTGTGGTAGGACACATCATAAGAATTAAGAATTGCACAGGAACCCATGCTCAGAAATGTCATTGTACGCCACCAACGGTAGCTGTACAGAAGAGTGCTAGTTGAAAGGGAGGATTTCTTCTGTTGTGTAGCAAAATTAAGTTAATTAAGTCTTATCAAAAATTAATCTATTTGTATTCCAAATTAGGCTTATACAACTTGTATTTTAATTAATCTATGTGTTAATTTGTTTACCTTTTATTTTGGTTTTTGTAACTTAAGATTCAACGTTGCATCACTCATTTTTTCTGAACGCGCTTGGCAGAAAACAATGGGAATGGGGGAGGATTTTCACATACAATAAAGTACATTTTGATGGCTGAAATAGTTTTTGAGATATACCCATTTAATTAACAACATTTTGTAATTTCACTGGACTTTCAAAAAGGGGGAAAGAATCTGTGTTGCATGTCACTTTTAAGCTGTTTAGGGACAAGATATACCAAGGTCACATTCTACATCTGGTGGGGAGATAGGATTACTAATCAAGGGCTGAATATTATCAACTAACTTCAACTTCGCTGTATGCCGAGATTAGAATGAAAAGTTCATGCTGTGTTCCAGCTGTCGGAGCTTTGTGTCGCATAGAATGGTGCTTAAAGTAGAATGAGCGCAGCACATAAAGTCCAGGAGGACGAGATAGAAGATGGTGAAGGAGAAAACACTGCTACCTTCATAGTATTGAACCTACCTTGAGTTGGAGTTAGTTGACAATATTCAGCCCCTGATTAGATAATTAACTTGTTGCAATCGTTTGTTAGGTTGAGACCTTGCATCTGAGAGAGCAATAAGAGCTTGCAAGATTTGCCTACAATGAAACAAAATGCATAAAATTTGTAAAGTTTTTGTCTTAAAATTGCTAAAGGGAACTATTGCTTTGAATGTACTTTTTAAGCCATCACTGTGAATTAAGTTTATTGGTTGATTTTTAGGCAAATACCTAATTAAAGTATCAAATATATATATGCAATAATATGTAAGTGCATAGTAAACTTTTTTTTTTCAATTTTCTTTCATAAAAAACCACTAAACTGATTAAGTTTCAATAATGCATAAGTAACAATAATTTTAGTGTTTTAAAAGTAGGCATTTGAAGCAAATAATTAAATAGTATATCTAATATTATTTTTTATGAATGAGAGTATTTACTTCACTTTTTTCCCAGGAAAGAAATTCAAAAGCAAATTAAAGAACTAAAAAGAGAATTAAGTAAGAAAAAATCTGCAAAATCTGAGGTTCCTGAGGAGAAAGTTCAAAAAGGTAAAATTAAGGCGGAAAAGTTAAAACAATTGTTAAGATATATTAAACATTCTGAATTTCTATATTAATGTGTATTAAGTATCACAGAGTACTAATGTCTTTTAGAGCAATCCTAAATTCTTAAAAGAAGTTTTATTTAAAAAATATTTTGCTTTTTTATTTATTCATTCATTTTAGTAATTATTTGTAAGGAAGATTTTAAAATATATAAAGCACATAGCATACTAACCAAACATTTTGCAACCAAGAGAAAGTGCAACTAAATAGTTTATGCCCACTGAAAGATCTTATGTAATCATAAAATATTGAATTACTTTTTACAGAGTTTTTCTTGAAGCACCTGTAACTTTGAAAATAAATATCTTAGAAACAATGATATATAGAAGCATGAAACCTGCGGTATGTTTATTGAAAAAACTGTTAAGGATCTGATATAGAGACCTTAGTTTTAGTTACTAATTGTGCCAATAGATGGTGCCACAGGTGGCTTTACCATAAATAGGATGTACATAGTAGGTAATACAAGCCCTTGTTGCATTCATATCAAAAGCAATTCAAAATGTGCAGCTAACACACATGTCACAAATGAAAAAAGAACTTGTCAATGACTCTGTGTAGTGTGTCGCCAAAAATCATCACACAAGTGTGATAGATATCCTCCTTAAGGTTCTTTGAATGCTAAAAGATTGTTGTGGTCAGTAACATCCTTCAGTCTGCCCCACAGAAACTAGTCGCAGGAGGTGAGGTCATGTGAATATGGAGGTCAATCCATGCCTTTTAACTGCCAAATAATTCAACACAATATTTTATCATTGAAGTATTCAACCAAAAGTCAAAAACGTCTTGTATATGATGTGGGTGAACCCCATGTGGTATGAACTACACTGTGCTTAGTTGATCATCTAGTGCTTGTTGAATAGCAACAATTGTTTCAAAATCGCACTATATTGGTCAGTCGCCAACATTTCTCACAAGAAAAAGGACCCAATGATGCCTTTCCTTTGCAGGAGATTACAACTCAAATGGTTAGTTTTCAGTAATGGAGTAGTCATGCATGAGACAAATGTGGGTTTTTGGTATACCAAAATTGCCAGTTGTGTCTGCTAATGACACCATCCAGATGAAAATGGAAGATTATCTATGAACTATATTTGGCCAACATTGAAACTAGAACCATCAATCATATTGTTACGAAATGTACAGGAGCGGTGAGATAGCTTCCCTGCAAAGCAGTTCTGGGTTGCTATAAAATGACAAGGGAATGCAAGTTTGCCATATTTGGTGATAAATCGCACATTTGGTGACAAAATTGGCAATATGCCGTGGACGGATGGAGAACCTTCTGGAACGAATTCTGACCGGGTTTAGCCCAGAATGTTCTCGAACACAAGCCGAAAGCTATATAAACCCTGCTTTGCAGTCAGTTAGTGAGTGTCTCGCCTAGCGAGCTGATAGAGAGTGTGTCTCGCCTAGTGAGTCAATCCCTGTGGAGTCGATCGAGTTGACAGCCGGGCAGCAAGTGCCGAGTGGGTCGTCGAGTGCACCGAAAGAGTCTCGTAGTGTATCGTGGTTAGTGCATCGTCGAGAGAGCGTGTTAAGCTCCGGGAACGACTGAACTGAAGAGTCGGGAGCTGTCGTTGAGTGCATCATGAGTTGTAGCGCGGAGAGTCTCGAGAGTACGTGGAGTTCTGAGAACGACCAAGCAGAGTCGGGAGCTGTACTCTAGTGCTTTGCCATGAAGTTGTCTCCGTGATAGCCTGATAACCTGGAGGCTGTGTCGCTGATCGGGTCAGCGTGTTTGTAATAGTTCATCGATGACAGTAAAAACGTATTTTAGAGCTGTCCTGACAATACTGGCCAATAAAGTGTGTTTCTATGTTTTGATGCTTCATCAACTAGTATTGTTATTATTCACTCCAAATCCTCACGAAACCCATACGAATGTGAAGGAAGAAAATAACGTTCAGAAAAAAAAAAGTAACAACTGGTGTCAGAAGTGGGATTTGCTAGTGAATGCCAGTGACCCGCCTGCAGAGGAAAGCCATGACAGAAGAAACAAAGACTTTGATGGACTTCTTAGCCAAGATCATAGCTGGACAGAAGGAGTTGAAAGCCAGATGTGCTGAGATAAAGGACGGATATGCTGAGATAAAAGCCAGATATGATGAGATAAAAGCTGGATATGAAGAGATGTCAGCTGATATGAAATCTTTACGAGAAGAGCCACTCAAGAAAAGGTGCTAGAAAAGGCCAAGAAAAGGTGCGAGAGCCACTCAGACATGTGAAAGTGGAGCTTGCAGAAGAAACTAGAGCCATAAAAGAAGATGTGAAAATGACAGTAGTGGCATCTGGAGAATCCAAGGATGAAGAAATGAAAGAGGCAGCTAACAAATTGCCTGAGAAAGATCCAGAAATAATCAATGAAATATCTAACGGGATTAAAGAAAAAGAACGAAAACATGAAGAAATAAAAGACAGGAAGGAAAATTTTGATTCTCATGTGCCTGAAGTAGAGATAGAAGAAAGTGAAAATTTGACTGTCAAGTTCATAGAAACTGATAGTGAAGTTATGAAAACGCAGTCAGCAAGTGTTGAACTATCTGAAAGTGCATGTGATGCAGAGATAGGAGAAGCTGATGTACAGCTTAAGCAGTGTGCTCCAGTATTGCAAAAAAATTCACCCACCTCGCAAATTATGTGTGCGTCTCATAGTGCAGATTTTTCAGACAAGGACTTGATTCTAAACCAGGATGCTTCTGTTTGTAAAGAATCGGGTTCCGTTCATGACTCTGATGCAGAATTTGGAGCTGGTTTCCTGGAAACGGTGGAAAATGAACATGTACCAACGGCTGAAAATACAGTTCAGTCGTTGGTACATGTTCATTTTCCATTTTCCACCGTTTCCAGGAAACGAAATGAGTAGAACTGTATACATGGTGGAAATAAACTACAGAGTGGTGAACAAACTGTTTCATATCTTCCTGTGGATGAAAACTCTGAAAGGACTGAACCTTCATACTGTGATATGCAAAAAAGAAATGAATCTGAGAACTGCAGTGGAAAAGTATTTGACCTGGGTATAAATAATTGAAAAGAGTGAGACTGAAATTCATTATGAACTTTAATTTGTATAACTTAAAATTGTTATGTGTTTAATTTGTGTATATAGCTTCTTGATATAGTGTAAATATTTGTTTCTTTAGTTATGTTATTTGTATGTTGTAAAACGTTTCGATTGTATCGACTTTGGCTTCTGACCGAGGGTTGTACTGCCCGGGACGTGCAGTCCTTGGGAGGGGGCAGTGTTACGAAATGTACAGGAACGGTGTACCGATTGGGTGGTTGAGTGCACCGAAAAAATCATGAGTTGTAGCATGGAGAGTCTCGAGAGTACGTGGAGTTCCGAGAACGACCAAGCTGAGTCGGGAGCTGTACTCTAGTGCTTTGCCGTGAAGTTGTTTCCACCGTGATAGCCTGGAGGCTGTGTCGCTGATCGTGTCAGCCTGTTTGTAGTAGTTCATCGACGACTGTAAAAATATGTTTTGGAGCTGTCCTGACAATACTGGCCAATAAAGTGTGTTTCGGTACTTCATCAACTAGTATTGTCATTATTCACCCCAAATCCTCACGAACCCCGTACAAACATGAAAGAAGAAAATAACGTAACAACTCTTGTCAGGAAAAAAAAGGAACAATATTAAGCATCTCTTTAGCAAAATCCTGTCATTCTTCTGGACTGGTATCAAATCCTATACAGAAATATCGTCTGGAGGATTGTGGATGGCGGGATTCTGGATTCAACTGCAAATCTGCAGACATATTTATTCAGATGATGCTCAATAAGTGCAGCAAGTGTTGTTGCATTTTCAGGTATAATGATGTGGTGAAGTGGGTGGGATCCATATTACTGACTAGCACATCAGCCATGTTGCCTGTCTGTTGAAATTTTTGTATAGTGCCTGAGTTGTTTTACCACTTGTGCCTTTTGTGACTTGAAATCGCGTTTGAAAACTTCTTGTGGCAGTAAGGCTGTGATTTAATTGGTGGTACTTCAACATAATAAACACATGTTCCTCCATGGAATGTGTCATTTAAGGAATTTCTTTTACTGTTTCAATAGCAAAATCTTTGAAGAATGATCTCTCTCGGTGTACCTGTCTCTTTATACGAATCCGTAATATCATCTGCAATGCCATCTATGAGTGCAGTTTGTAAATAAATTTTGAGATTAATCTATTAGATTCTTAACAGTTTTTTTTTAATAAACATACCACTAGTTTTATGCTTCTGTCTATCACCATTTCTGAGTTATTTATTTTCAAATTTAGGTATCCTTCATGAAACACCTTGTACATATAGACCGAAGGGCCATTACATTATGACCACCCTGTTAATGACATGTAGAATCAACTTTAAGCCCTCAAAACTACCAACATCCAGCATGGCATTGACTCCGTAAGGTGCTGATAGTTAGTCTGAGGTATCTGGTACCAAGCACTCACCAACTGGTCCTGCAATTCCTGCACTTTGCAAGTGGGTAGCATGGCAGCATGGACGTGAAAGTCAGTGGCATGTTCCTCGAGCCACTGCCTGACGATTCAACCCTTATGACATGGTGCATTATCCTGTTGGTAAACTCTATCTCCTGCTGAGAATTATTTAACTTCCAAATACGTTTTCAGTAGTTGTTATTAAAATAATATTAAATTGTTGGTAATGTTAAAAACGCAGGCTCAAGAGCCACATAAGGCTCTCTAACGATTGATGTATAGAATTTGATTTTTGAAAAAAATAGGTTTTTCTCTTGTTAATTTAAATGTTGCCCCCCCCCTTTTTTTTTTTTTTTTTTTTTTTTTTTTTTTTTTTTTTTAGCATTCAATAACATTTTTATGCTGAGTTCCTTTCAACCTGGTGTCACAACCCAGGGTTTGCATAGCAGTTTCAGCCACTACATCACACCCCGCCACCGGCTTGTCTCCATCCAACTGTGGGAACCAGGGTATAATTTGGAAATCGGCATATTAGTACACGCCTGTTGTTGTGATGAACCAGAAAATGTGATTCGTCACACCATGCAACTTTCTTCCATTCTTCTAATGTCCAAATCTGATGTTTCTTGGCCCATTGCAGACGCTGCTGGCAATGACGTGCTGTCAATTCATTGACATGCTATGCCCTCCGTGCCCATACACAGCAATGTATGTGGCACAGTGTATTGAGAAACACTGTCTGGGTTGCCACTGTTGGTGATCTCAGCTGCTGTAGTTCTTCGATCACAGTGAACAATGCATAGCAATATCCGCTCTCCTCTGGAATCAATGCGCTGTTGACAACACACTGCTGGTTGACAACTTGTCGTTGTACCAGTCATACACCACTTTCAATATATGCTCACAACAACTGCATGTGAACAACTTACTAAACACGACCTTTCTGATATTATGTTCCCTGTCATCAAGCCATAACGATTTGACCTTTATCAAAGTCTGATAAATCAGCTGTTTTTTCCCCATTATGTTGCTAATCGTGCTGTGTTTGGAAAAAGAATGCATAGCCACTTTATATGCTTCAACATCAGCCCCACACACCCAGTGGTTTAGTTCCTGGGGAAGCCCATTGTTATAGATGAAAGGTAGTCATAATGTAATGGCTCTTCGGTGTATATTACTTCCACAATTTTTGTCACTTACGATAAAACTTACTGGCTAATAATTCTGGATTACATGTATTAAACTATTTTTCAGTACAGATAATTAACAGCAGATACATTGTTGTTACATTGTATTTTATATGTTCCATTGTTTAGCATATCATTTTTAACCTAAGAAAATGAAACTTCAATTAATTGAGGCCTAATATATGGCATGCCTTCAATGGTTTCATTGTATTTAAGTAGCCTGTGTATAGAGTAAAAAAAGATACATTATTCAAACTTGTTATACTATTAATAAGCTGTATTTTATAAGCATAATATTGTTTGGTCTATGTATATATGGAATTTAGGCATCAGAATCAAATTTAAAATATCCGAATGAAAAAGATGTACTTCATGCAGTTGGTAAAATAATTTCATTATAATATTTACATTGTTTAGTCATATTAAATTAAAACTGATTTTTCTCCCTTAGAGGAAGTTAAAGAAGAGAACAGTGTGCTTTCCGAGTATCATAAGCAGTTAGCCAAATATGCAAACAAATCAAAATCTATTTCATGTAAGGGTACTACAGAAAGAGAGCAACAGGTATTAATCTTTAACTGTCACAAATTTATTTTCAAAATTTGTAAATCTGTAATACCTGAATCTGTAAATGTTTATGTGTTTTAAATAAAATTACATATACTGAGAAGATATTTTGGCTTATATGACACATAACTCTGTTGATTGGAGAAATTATTTGGATCATGTTTAATGTGCAATTACTTATTCATTATTCTTATAGATATTTGTGAAACATTATGAAATTTGGCAGTCAAGAGTAAAATTACAAATTTAAAGTTATCTCTATTTCCTATGTCTACTTGTTCATTGTTTTAACAATTATGGTAAAGCATATGAGGACTATCTGCGTAAGGGAGGGACACCTTCGTGAAGGATATGCTAAGCAAAATTAGCCTGTATTCACATTGCATATTGTTAAGACTAATGAAAAGTCCATCCTTTCAGTAACCACTGTGAATCACATTTGTGGTGAAATATTATTTATTAGTAGTCATCTATTTGCCCTTCTCCAGGGTAATTTATTACATTAATTGAGATTTTTATTCAGACAAAATCTTTTCTCAGGGTTCACAAATCAGGTTCCTAGATTAGATCCCTGTGGACAGACTCATCACAGTGGATGACCAGAGATTTGAATATTCCTCCAGCTAGCCTTAATATATTGAAAAGGGCCACCTCCCCAGTATGTGGCTTAGGCTGGCAAAGTTTCAAGCTAGAGTTGCAACATTTCTCTCAACCTGCCTCCTCTGCCTAATGAAATGTAAGACCTCATACTTGCACTAATCTGCAGGAGCAGATGCACAGTTCATTAATTATTCACATGGGCACTGCTAATATATTAATTTATCCAGATGTATGTTGCTGCTGTATAATAAATTAGTTTTTACTTAACTTTGAAATATAAAACTTAATATCTTCATCATTAGAATGAATGGCACAGCATTCTAATGATGAATTCATTCATCTTTTCAGCAAATAATTTAGTCATTTTTCTCATTAATTATGCATATGAGTAATATTGTACTGAATAGCATCTGAAAGCTTTCTTTTTTCTTTTCCAGACTTTAAAATTTTTAAAAAAGTTTAAAAATTCATTAGAAACAGCCAAAAGGTCAAGCCATTCTGATGAAGAGTCTATTGGTAAAGATGATGATAACATAGCATGGTAATTAAAGGAACTGTTTTCGTGTAGTATTTATTTATTTAAGTTCTGAATTATTGTTCTTAGAATGGTATTTTAAACATGGAAGCACTTCTTGTGAGCTTCCACAGAACAGAATACTTTTTTCAATTTTTTGTTTTTTGAAATGAATAGGTTACCAATCAATTATTGCACTATGTTTATAATTTTCAGATGGAAGGTTGCACCTCTCCAAACATTTTACCTTCAATTGTTTTCTCATTCTTATACCATTCAGTAAAGCTTGTGAATGATACACTTAAAAAGTGATCAAAACACTGTCTGTTCAACACATTAATTGCTGTGCAATATCCCACAGCTGTCCCTTATTGATGTTCGCTCTCAGAGGCAATTTGTGAAACATCATTCTTTTACAAAGAGCAGTGTTATCATTAGTTCATGCAAAATTAATCATGTCTTACAGGTTTAAAATGGAAAAAAAAAATTGAAGCCTTCTGAAAATGAACAAATATGCATAAATTTCTGCCATGGCACACTAGTGAAATAAATTGAAAGAACATGTTACTTAGGTATACTGGATGTCACTGCAAGTATAGATTCGTGGTCATGTTTTAGAATGTTAGGTTGATAATTTATTACTGTTCCCTTGAGATAGAAAAATGAAACTACATGCATTTTGAGCAATTATTATTTCAATTTTATATAGGGTGAGTGAGAGTTAACTCCCTACTGAAAATTATTTATTAATTTTTAAATAGTTAATGAATTTTCATTAAACAAAAAGCATTTTGTGTCTTACAATAGTAGAATTTAATACATGATATCTCATTTATGCCATTGCCGGCATCAGTGGCAGACCATGGTTAAACATCTAAAGGCTCGACCACATGAATATGCTCACAGCATAGATGCAGATATTTTTTTTTTTTTTTCCAATGGCATAAATTTTCATTATCTATAGGATATAAACCTGAGTTAACTTGTGTTCAACCTTTTTCATCTGTGACGTGAACAAACAACTAATAGCTGATTTTGTTAGTATCACATGTCATAATCTAAAAGAACTTCTAGTGTCTTTTCGATATGGCTCAGTGTTTCAGTAGTCTTTTCAATACGGCTTCGGAATCATTGTAATGAATTTTTATTTACAGAGATTATAACTGGCTGTATCAGTAAAACCATTAGCACTGTTTATGGCTTCCTCAGTTCTCTCAAACCACAGATTGGTATAATTTTCAAATTATCCTTAAAGGTGCAGACTGCATATTTATAATGCAATCATCCAACCAATATATTCAAATGCTTACCACCATAAGCAACAAAAACCTAAATAAATTACAATTTCTACAAAATCAAATTCTCCGGCCTCAGAAAATGCTCCTTAATTATACAAACATTCACTGTTTCATGCATAACGAGAAGTTCTATAAATATCTCACCATCAAATACATAAAAAACTAACATCTTCAACAAAATAACTTATAAATAATAATGCAGTTGACTGTCACAGAACATTGTATAAAACACAGCTATTAAATTTTCGAGGGCAATTACAAGCTGGCCATACGACATGCATTTATTGAATATTAGTTAAACAAGGAAATCCTCATTGCACTAAGAGGCAACATTCATCTTTGTTGCACAATATGCATATGTGTTCTCCATATCATAAAGATAAAATTTGAACTTTTTCGCCGAGACTTACTTACTACTAACTTCTCACCTTTCTTTTGCCTGTTCGTTGCTGATGTCTGGTGTTAGCTGGCATATGTGTTAATGTATAAATATTTAACCTCTTGCAAGATGGGCTTTCCTGTTTTAAATATTATATAAAGTTGGTTTTAACTATTAGCTGAAGTTTGTGATTTTTAGGCCTTTCTGATGACTTTCGGATGGCATCTGATGGCAATGAAACATTATCATATATGGCGACCTAAAATAAGAGCTGCACTGGTGCACCATACATTGCAGCTATACCTGCCTTGAAAACTGTTTGTGATTTCTCCCATGATTTTGTACAGAAGTCGCTTCTCCAATTATAAAATATTGTGGTCCAGAACTTATCTAGATGAAATATGTGGCAGTTTTACATGTTGCTGTAGGAATTGTTTTGAAAACCTGGATGGATTTCATGATTTCACTGTGGTATTACATCAATGCAAATGATTAAGAATATTTTGATGAAGATTTTCATCAATTTGGGTGTTGGTGCTGAAACTGGATTACCTTTTAAATTATGAGTTTTTTTAATGCATGTACGACTAAATCATTTTTTCATGTGATTGTTTTTTGGAATCTAAGAGTAAATGTTAAAAAAAAAAAAGAAGAAGAAGTTTTTTAACTGATAATTTTATTGGATTTTTGAAAGATTTTTAGAATGTCTTTAACGCATATTTTTTAAAGAAAATATTTTTTATCACTTGTTCTTGGCATTTATTGGAGTCAGTTTTTCTTTATTGAAAATGTGCACAGCATATTTTTACAAGGTGAATATTTTACATTTTGTTAATATTCGTGTATCCGTAATGGATATAGATGCGTGATAGTTCTTCCATCCTTTTACAGCATCCTTTAGTATTGAGATTTTTCTTGTATATTTGATTTTTTTATATGTTTGCAATTAGAATCATATATCTTTCTTGAGCTTAATAGTCATGTCATGTAATGAAAGTTCTGTTGATGATTTTCCAACTGAAAATATAGCAGCTATGCAGGTAACACATGTTTCAGTAGAATTACCACATTTTTTGGAAAACAAACTGAGCATTATGGTTTGTTAGATTGGAATCACAGTTTTCCTTTTCCAGTATGACTTGATTTCAATATAACTGGATTTAACAAAATTTAGCCATGTTACTGCTGCTGTGGTTCTAAATTCTAATAGTGATATCATTTTGAAATCTCTGACTACTAGCAAATGCATCCTATAACAAAGAATGATTGTAGTGCCGTTTGAAAACAAAGCGTCAAAAATTTGTACTCTGTTTCAAAATCTTGAGCTTTGTTACCAGTTCCCTTCTCATTGTTGACTCATATGCGTGCTTTAGCAGGTGATACCCATGGTGAACTTATGTTAAGATCTTTGTGGCTTACAAAGGTCTTCAATAATACATAGTTTTTGTTTTTTTCTTTTTTGGCTGCTTTCAATGAAGATAATTTTAGTAAATTGGCTTACGTCGCTGATAAGATTACTGAGCTCATATCTCACTATTAAGTAAATATGGCTATTGTGACTCCTGGGCCAAGCGAATTTACTGCAACTTGTGTGAAACTTCAGGTAGCACAACTGACAAAGCAAGTTGGTAAGTTAACTTCTGCCTTGGGACATAATTCTCGCAGACCTAAGCACAATTTTCATCATTCATACCAGCACGGTGGCTCATACAAAAGCATTTACAACCATAAAGAGTAAACACATGACCTTTGTTTCTATCATGTAAATTTTGGTGAGCATGCCAGTAAATGTCAGTCTCCATAGTCCTTTTCATAAAATGGGAATTTTCAAATCACTTGCTGGCCAAGGTAGTGGACGCCAGGTAAATCGTATATTTTTGGCTGATCCCTTTTCAAAATTAAAATATTTAATTGATACTGGGATGGATGTGACAGTTTTACAAACGAAATATGCTAAGTGTTCTAGGCCTTCTCAAGATTTGGTTTTGTTCGCTGTGAATGGAAGTAAGATTCCCATGCTTGGCTTTAAATATCCTACTTCGGGTTTAAACTTTCATTGCAAGTTTACTTGGTTAATTGTTGTTGTGGATATAAATCAGCCAATTTTAAGTGGAGATTTCCTTAAAAAAATATGGATTCTTGTAGATGTTGCTAATAATTGCCTTATAGATTCTGGGCTGATTTGTGATTACATGGCCAATTATTTCAGAGTTCACTTGATTTAGGCATATCTGTACCGCTTGGTGACTCTAAATTTCATAAATTACTAGCGGAGAATCCTGAGCTCAATATTCTTCTTATGTAACCAATAATAATCAAACTTGAACAATTTTCCATTATACTGAGACTAAAGGTCCCACCACTTTTCGTAAACCTCATCGTTTGTCACGGATTTACTCTAAGCAGCACAACAGGAGCTTGAGTACCTCATGTCGCAGGGAATCATTCGGACATCCAAAAGTACTTGTATAAGCCCTCCTAACAAGATCCATAAGGCTAATTGTGACTGGCACTTTTGTGGTGATTATCGCCACTTGAATGCTGTGACTGTTCCTGACCAGTGTCTTACACTGTATATTCAGGGGTGTACAAATTTTTAGTCCAAAGGGACTTTGTCCCTGAAGGACTATTGTTTTCGTTTTGCGATTTTGCGTTGAATCATTATAAATGTCCGTTTCACTTTTCAAACTCTTGCCAACAAATTTTAGAGTCCTGCATTATATTTGAAGAAATTAATTAATGAAAAATCTGCATAAATGTATGTATATTTCTCGCATTGTGATAAAACAACGGTACATAGAGCCATCAAGTTTTGAATGACATAATCCTCCTACGAATATGGTCATGTGGGAGACCAAAATTCGAATAACAAACTCAATGATTTAAAAGCGAGCAATGGCAACACTCTACCAGGAAAAAAACCTTTTTATCTCCAGCGCGCAGAACTATGTATTGGAAATTCTAAAGGTATGCTCATATTAAAATTATTTTGCAATAGTGCTCTTGAAATGAATTGTGTGGTTTAAGTGCAAAGAATTACAACATTTAATAAATAAAGGTAACACACAAAACGTTAAAAAAATGCCCCTTTGGGCATAATTTAAAATCTGAAACCTTTCAAATTTTTTTCTATTACAAATTTGTAATTAATAGTGTTTTTTTTTTTTTTTTTTTTTTTTTTTTTAAACTATTTTCAACACTTGATTTGGCTAGGTTGTACCATAAAATCCCTATTAACCCAGAGGACATGCATAAAACAGCTGTGTCTATTTGGATTGTTTGAGTTCTTTAAAACCCCATTTAGTTTGCGAAATGCAGGCCAAACATTCCAAAGATTTATTCAGAAGTGC